TCGATAGCGAGACCATAATTAAAATGATAAACGTTAAACTCTGGTATGATTTATTCCGTTTCAAAAGTCGACTTAGTCGTGAAATGCTTAACAAAAAATAAGGTTTAACGGACAACTACGCAGTTTGTATAAAAATGAATCATGTTATATTTGTATAATGTATATAATTCACAATGAAGATTAAAGATTAGCCATGGTATGCTGCTCCAAACTGACTTTGGCACGCCATTACACTAATAAATTATTTTTTAAATTGTATATAATAGCTGTGTAGTAAAGATAAATTGAAATTATATTGTCATCGCTATGTATTATTCATACATAATATGTTATGATGTTGTGCCGTTGAATTTATTCATAAAAAGTCTATAAAATAGGTATATATAATATATTATAATTCAAAACGAGTATATTATACTTGCATTAAAAATATTTTTAATTAAACAAAATATAGTAATCTACTCGTGAAGTTTGCAATAACTTTCAATTTCTCCGTCAGTTATCTTAGACATTTTATATTTAATTCTAATACAACAATGTCCAACGACCAGTAGAAACTAATTGATTAGATTAGTTTACAAATTAAAGTTTATTAAATAGTACCTTCGACATACGCGGGCGTCCAGCGGTGCACGTATACCTGCGCTGCCGACGGGTCTACTCTCCCCGGCCCGTCGTGGTCCTTATTTTTTTTTCCCTGTAATACCTTTGTCTGATGACGATTATATAAAATCGAAAAATAAAGTGTAGATGTGCACCGGCGGCGCCCACGTATGTCGATATCGGCGATGTTCAAATGTCTATAACTCCCAAACTATAAGTTCATCCGGCATTCGTAATCAGCATTAAAAGTACTAGGTATCGATTAAAAAAAAAAAATCTAAAAAATGGTGCCCGGTAAGGTTACATAAGTAAGTTGTTAGTGGTCGGCATCGAAGGAGGGGGGGGAGTGGCTTAGATTGTTAGTTCGGTCAGGTAGACACTTCAGAGAGTGACTTCACCCTTTATTCTTTTTCTTTTTGTTTTTAGCGCTTTCCGTGCCCCTTAAGCACAATTAGAAAGATAAATGATTTGTAAAATCATTATAAGTATCAGCAGCGCGCGAAAAATGTATACATAAAAATGGCCGACGTAATATTCGAGTACCAAAGACGCTGTAAAATTCGATCCCATTTGGATTTGTTTCCAAGGAGATTCTTGTTGGTCGGTCGGATGTCAGCATATTCTATGGATTTTAATGTTACGCTGTTTGAATAAGTACATTTTGTTTGATTCCTAAAATAAATGATATTTAGTTTTAATTATGCGGCTATAAAAAAAAAAAAAAAGTAGCTGTGAAGAAAATCTGCCACTGACCAATCAATTTTTCTTATCAAATGAAAGATATGGAAGCAAATTACCTTGAAGAATTATACGGTAGTTGTTCGACCACTCCGAATAAACTTGACAACAGAAACGATGGAAATAATGTAATTGTAATTAATTTTAGTAATGTAATTTTAATTCTTTATTTTTATTTTTAAAAATAAAATAAAATCAGAAAATCGAGGTAATCATAAACTATTTGACTATTAGACTCAAATTATTTACATTTTATGTACTTAGCGAAAATTGGTATACTATTAATATTGCTTAGAATTATTTTTTACAAATAATTATAACACTTAAGTGTATGTTTACAAATTAATGATAGTTACCATTAATTTGTAATCATACAAAAAAATGATATTATAAATATTTACTAATATACGAAAGTTTTTAGTTGTCGGTATTTAGATTGAGAGTGAAACACGTTTTATCATCTTTTTGATATTTATAAGATGATATGTCTAGAGGAAAAATGTAAATTCGCGTATTATCTAGAATAAGTTGTGCTGTTCGATATGTAAATTCCATTGAAAAACTTTTTGTATACCTACATATAAGTAAAATAATGTCATGAATTATGTATATAAATATACCTACCAGTATGATAATTTTTAAACCTTCATCCAACGCTTAATGTTTAGGTATTGTTTTCCTGTTAATTCCGTTTTACGATACAATTGTTTTACCTGACACTACGAAAGTTCATAGAATATACTATAAATTTGTTTCTATTTTGTATTTCAGTTGATCACATTTTTAAATGCCCATAAATATTAAAATGAATACAACCCGTAATCACTTCGCTTGCAAACTTGTGAAGACCATAATAATATTGTGTTATGTAACGGAACACATACCTAAATATTGCGATGTTTATTCTTTTTTTTCTTCAAAAAACCGTTATAGTGATGTTATCTTAATGAAATATAAGAAACTCTTCTATGTATATTATGTACTACTATTTAGTATGAATCATCTGTGGTTTAATTTCCTCTGGGTACATTATAGGTATAGTCTATACCGTATAGAAATGTATATTTAACTGTATCTACATTCTACGTTATTAATATATTTAACGAATGACAGTAATGTTTCCTGTTGACATACATACAGGGTCAAATCGCTAATCGAAAACGTGTTATCAACAAATAATGTAAGTATAAATATATAATTTAAGTTTCATACTTGATAAGTAGACAAAACCCTTGTGACTTGTAAAATTAAACTTATGTAAATTAAAAACAAAATACAATTTTTTCTCTCGGGAATTTTTTTCTCTGCGAAGGAATTAATTTTCCATGTTTTTAAATTACATTTAATTTCTCGGGATTCTAATTCAATATATGTCCAGGGGCGTACACACACGAGGGAAGGGATATGGGGCCCTCGCCTCCATGGTCAATCAGTACCATTATTTATTGACACAAATAAAAAAATTAATTTTTATAATAAAACAACAGCAACGCTATTGTATTTAGATTATTTTTTATTAGCACTCTCAGCTCTAAATTCTTCCTCCTAAATTTTTTATTCAACGCGAGGAATCCATCGTGGTTAATTTTTTTATAGTAGTACCACGGTTTAACCATGCCAACATATTTTAGAAATTAAATTATAAGCTTCATAATAAAAAAAAAAATTATAATATAATAATAACAATGATGGGGGTATATATATATATTAATACTAACACTTTTTATTCACTTTAAAATATAAATAATTTATGAGAAATCTGTGAATGTTTTAGAACATTCGAACTGTGTCGAGTTTTGTGAATAAAATATGTACGTTACTGTTTAAGATCCAATATTTGATACACTTTTGTAAAATACTAAATTCAGTAATCATTTAAACTTATACTCTAGACATGAATATCTGGCTAAAAATTAGGTTCAAAGTATTGATCGAGTGTTAAAAAAACATATTTACTTTAATGCTGTGTGGGATGTATTGTGAATGGTTAGTAGTAATTTTAATAGTTTAATTTAAAAGTTAAGACAATGTACACATGTTTTGTTGTAAATGAAATAAAACTAAGCTTATAATATAGGCAAAGTAGAGTGTGAACAGCATTGGAGTAGCGCAATTGCCAGCACAGAACGCCGTGTAAATGTAAATTGCTAAAGTCTCATTATCTCATTCATTTAGAACATTATTATTACAATATTCTACCGAGGTTCTCAATTATATGGTAATATATTATATATTTGTAATGCGCTAGAAGGAGTAAAATCATTGTTTTACTTATAAAATGGCGTGGCTCTGTTTCTGTACAGGATTACAATGCGCTGTTGGTCTGGCAAGTATCAAATAAGAGTCGTCTATTTTAACGGCACCTTTACCGCAGCCCTCAGCCTTTCTTTTTTCAATATTCTAATTAAATTTTAATTTGATTTACTTTAGGGGTCCGCAGTGGAAAACGATGTAACAATATCAGTGCCGGTGCAATAATTTGTTTTACGGCTATTGAGTGTCATAAAAACGACGGGCTATTTTTATTTTTATTCACACTAACTACGTTCGGCTCGAAGGGCGATTAACATTTTATTCTAATCTTGATAATGAAATCACCTCTGTCGTGGCCTTGTTCAATTTATAACGGCGTTTCCTACCCGCCCACTTGTCATTTTAAAGAAAATTAATAATAAAAAATAAGGTGTGAGATGCGTTTAAAAACCTCAAGAGTATAGTTTGCCGTCGTACCAACAATTATACAACCACAGCCGACCTTCAGGCTGCAAAAGAGGTTTGTCCCATGTCACAATGGACCGTGTCCAAATAAAGAAAACGTCTTACTCGAGATGAGCCCCCCTCCTAGATTTTCGTTAGTTCATCTCATGATAATTCAAATAATATTAATTAATATAAAAATAGACTTTTTATAACTTACTATTTTTTTTTGGAAATCATGATATCAGCGAAATAATTGTTTTACTTTATATTAGGCTTATAATAAAATTATATTCCACAAAATGTTTATCATTATTACTCCGATAATTAAATCTTTGGGGGTGGGTTTCTTGATTAAAAAGTTGTTTATGTTTTGTATACCTATATTAGTTTAATTTATGCCATTATCAAAAATACATTTGTTTAAAAAATGATAAGATAATTATAGCCTATATTGTATCATTAGCTAGTGTGCACTATAAACAATTTATTTTGAAAAACAACTGTTATTAACAATTTACACATGATAGCAGATAGAAATATGTGAATAGATGGCTATAGTTGATTGAACCTTTTGTTTGTTATAAGGCGAGGAAGAATGAAGTACTCACGGTGAGAAGTGGAACTGTTCTAGTGTGGTATTTTTCATAAATAAGTTGATAATTTTTTTGAAGAAACAATTTGCTAACGTAAATGGAGTACGATGCTTGTTTATTTTATCATAATAAATCCTAAGAAATAAAATTAAAAAACATAATTCATACAATACTAGATAGTTTATAAAATTGTTATAAATCGCATAGGCTTCTAAAAGTGTTAACAAATTTTAAAAAAGAAAATTGAACAATGAATAATAAACAATTTAAACACATTTCTATTTACAAAAAAAAAAAAGAAACATAATTATAGTATTAATCAACAATAAAATGTTATATTTAATTTATAATAATAATATAATTATACATAAATATCTATTTTTTAAATTATATAAAATAACCTATATTTTTCATATACCTAAATAACACTTGCTAATATGCACACAATAAATCTACTTATAAAGCTTTTGTTAAGATTATCTACAACTCCATCGTTCTACCATAGACTGATAAGTCTATCATTTGATTCATTGTTATACATTCCTAAAGTAATAACCATCTAAGTTGACTAATGTTGAGATAAAATTAACAAAACTTTAAAATTTGGTTAAAATCGTACAAAAATTGATTTATGCATATGGTTATTCAAAAATCATAGTAATCATAGAAATGGAAAAAGTGGATTTAGTAGAATATTACGTAAGAATATTTTATGATATCATTATTAGCATAATAATTCATAACATTTCAGCACATAAACGCTATGAAAGGAATGTCAGTAGGTAGCGACAACTCATTCGCTAAGTTTTAATGATTTCCATAGAGTAAAGGTAGACAATTAAGAATTAACGTACTAATAACAAGAAGACCTATATAATGTATTTTAACGCTTACATACCAGTTAACATAACAACACCATATAGAATGGACAAAATATCATTAAGAGAATTATACCAATTTGATCTTCAAATAATCGATTAGCATAAATCTAATATTATTTACTTTCTTTATTCCTATATATAAAGGTCACTGAGGCTTAGAATTTAGATTTATTGATGCATTTGTTGAATAGGTAGATGATATCATTATTTTAAAGAATATAAAATTGCACAAATTGTGGTCGGTTAACGCAAATCCGGGGTATCGTTTACTAATTTTTTTATGCGCAACAATATCGTAGTATACCATTGATCCAATCTCGAGATGGAGTCGTAATCTTTGACGGCTTCTGTGAATCCATCAGCATTCTGTTCTTGAATGTGATTCAACAAGACCTGAACAAACACATTAACATCACTTAAATATCGCATAAGTCTATCGAGAAAAACATTTTAAGTGCTTTTAGACCAATTTTTTTTTTACCAAATAAAGTATGGACATTTCTTATAAATTACAGCTAAACCCTATTTTCTATAAATATTTTGTATTCTATAAATATTTTTAAATTACACCTTACTAATTACTAGTATATTAAACTCTGTTTTCAGCCAAAGCGGTTTTGATGAATGAAACAAACTAACATTGTTATCCTTACCTGCAACAATTTGTATTCTCGACTATCTTGGAATGCGGGATAGCGTTCAATGTATTGATTCATAGCCAATTGAGCATTGAGAACATCAACACATAAATGACACAAAGCCGCTCGGAAATAATATTCTTTAGCACTGTATTTCAACAAAGAACTATCCAAAGATGTTCCAGCGACCTAAAATATAATATATTATAATATAAAGGATAATGTTGATAATGTGTGTGTTAAAAAAAAATGTAATATTATAATATACCTCTTCATAGATTTGTATTGCTCTGTCGTAATCTTCTAGTTGTGCGGCATACTGAGCTACTTTGAGCTTACATTTATTCGCCGAGCTTTTGCTCTCTTCTGCCATAAAATAATCAGCTGCTTTTTCGTAATTGTTTATAGCGCGTTCCAAGTCAACAGCCTCAGTCTCATACATTTCAGCAATGTTTTGATGTTGTTTAGCCGCCATTGTGAAACGGCCCATATCAGTGTAGATATCGATTGCTTTTTCCAAGCAACCTGCAGCCTCTAAAATAGCGCATTAACACCATTATACATTGTAACATTTAACATTTGTATGATATAACTTGAATATCAACTTTTCTATAATCAAAATTATTATTCAAATAAAAATAAAGGATAACCATACCATTAGGATCAGTTTTTTTATAACAATTTGCAGAGTCTACATAGTTTGTAGCTGCATCATGTTTACGGCCGGATTTAGAATTAAGATCAGCAGCCAAGCAAAATGCTTTGCCAGCTTGAGACCATTTTTTAGCCATCTTAAATAAGTTGGCAGCCCGTTGATAACAGTCAATTGCATCTTCGACTTTGGAAACGTTTCTGAAAAACAATTTACATAATAGTTAATTTGTTTTTATGTAATTAAGAAACAATATCAATGTTAATAAATACTATAAAATAACAATTAAATTAAAAAGATGGCACTTCTAAGTTGTTATTAAATAGCTATTTTTCTTATAGTTATGCATTGGTTATTATTTAGATAACAAATAAAATTATGCATAATATATTTTACAACTTTTTAATGCCCATTTATTATAATTATTTCAAACATTTGATAATGCGTATTAAAAAGTGTTGTAGATTATACTAGTCATACTTTTACAAGTTACTTTCATAGAAAAATTTTATTAAAAATACTTTCGTAAATTAAATTTTACAAGGTTTTTCTAAAAAATTCAAGTATTTCAAATATATGATTTTGGAAGTTAGAACACTTACAGTGTACTAATCCAATATGAACTCGCAACCTAATATAATATAAATTAAATTTTGTTTAGACTATTGTTACAACTATTTAATAATAGGTCTTATGTAATAAATCATTTTTTAAGAATACTATTTTGTCTAACTTTATTACTACCTTAAAGACTAATGTCTACAACTTGATTGTTTTTTTTTTTGTTACATAATTTTTGTTGAAAATTTGGAATTTGCATGAAATTTATTTACTAACAATACACCAAAAATAACATGTTGATTTGTATTGATTGTAAAATGTAAATAAAAGGTGATAAAATAAAAAATAGATTAGAACTTGTGGCTGATGATTTAATATATTTTATAATATATAACTTAACGATAAGAACTCCTAATGAGTCAACCTATTAGCAAGACGTTGATGTAGCATTATTAGAACGCAATAATATCGTACCTAATTACATTTTCATTATATTATATAGAAATAAACTATTTGTTGTAGTATTTTACTAGTCATTTTAGACATTATTACATTACAGCAAGTTGTACATTATGTAGGTAAGTACCTACCCAAAAAGTGATGAAAAAAATCCCTTAGACGAATTGAGCTTTTTGTCAGCTTCTGCAAGCAGTGCCATCGCTTTCTCTTCGTTGCTAGACATTGTTCAACTATGTTTACGAATCAATCAGATATTTCAAGAAACTACTACACATCAAAATTCGATACACAATAACAAACTCGTTTTACACTCGCCATTGGAAGATATTGATAAAATAATTATAAGGCAACGTCACAAGAGAGCGCTACCACTGATATGAAACTACAAAATACAACGTTGTTCTACTCATCTGCTTAAGTATGAAAGTTGACAACACCGCTTTAATTATCAAAAAAACCCTCCGTCTTATCATTTTATTCGTTATCAGTTATCACGCGATTTATTCTCGGCGAATGAACTTGACGTTTAACAACAAATAACAATACAAATTTATTATTAAGTTGTATTAATTAGAATGCATAATCTTTTTGATTAAAAGAAATCTTGAGATGAGCAAGTCAAAGTCGTCGGCCAATGTGGAAAAGCAGGATATCCTGCAAGCAGTAGTGGTAGCCAGTTTCTTTCATAATAACTTCAGGCCAGCATGTGAAAAAGACTCGTGCCTTATTCCTTTGGTAAATAAACCGTTGTTGTACTACACATTGGACTTGCTCGAGTCATCTGGCATTAAAGATGTTATCATATTTTGTACGAGTGAGGCCGATCGCATCAAATCGTTTGTTAAAAATTCTCATTTCCATCTTCTCGATATCGTCTACACTACTTCGGACACGTGTGGCTCGCTTGGCGACGTACTCCGACATCTGGATGCTTGTGCTTTGATAAGAAATGACTTTATTTTACTTTGGGGTAATGTAGTTGGGATGTTGTCTCTATTGCCGTTAGTAAATCATTTTAAAAACTTACGCAATAAAGACAAAGGGGCTGCAATGACTCTTATTTACCAGCAAGGCGATACGGATAGTGGTCAGACATTGGTTTTGAGTTCAAGTTCAAAAAGAGTCCTATTTCACAACAAGAGTAAAGGCAAATTACATTTACCCGTAGAGTTAGTACTTAACGATAATGTGGAAATAAGAAGAGATCTGTTAGAAACAAATATTGCAATTTGTTCTACAGCAGTTCCGCCTTTATTTGCAGATAACTTTGATTTTCAAACCAAAGACGACTTTATAAAGGGATTATTAATCAATGAAGAAATACTGAATAGTACTCTTTACGTTCACATTATAAACAATGGATATGTAAGTGAAGTCGATGATTGGCCTTCTTACCAAAAAGTAAGTCATGACATTTTACATCGATGGAGTTACCCACAAGTACCCGAAGTCATTGATAAATATGACTTAAGGTATGGTAATATTTATTATGGTGAAAACTTGAAATTGGCCTTGACTTGTAAAATTAACAGTAATAGTGTTATAGGCGCCAACTCAAAATTAGGTTCAGATACACAAATATTCAAAAGTATTATAGGTAAAAACTGTACTATTGGCAATAACGTCGTTATAGAGAACTCATACTTGTTCAGTGGTACTAAGATTAAAGATAACTGTGTTATCAAATTTTCCGTTATTGGAGAAAATAATGTTATTGGCGAGAATAGCTCTCTATCAGATGGCTGCGTCCTAAGCAAAAACGTTGTTATTGAACCAAATTCATCATTACAACAAACTCGATTGACTAGTAACAATATTAACAATAAATTGAAAAAACTAGGCTCGAAAGCATTTGTATACAATGGTGAAGATGATTCAGACTCCGACGAGGAAGAAATAACTGGCTTGATGTACCGCACTCGTTCTTTGTCGATCGTTAGTTCTTCGTCGTCTGAAAATGATTCTGTCTCAGTTGCAGGATCTATACCCGACGACACATGTATGTTCTACTCAGAGGTCGTTGACTCGTTAATCAGAGGATTTGAAGATCACGTTCACTGTGACAATTTAATATTAGAAATTAATTCATCACGCTATGCATATAATATTAATTATAGAGAAGCCAATTTCCAAGTAATTCGAGCCATGTTAACGTTAAACAGTAAAGCCGAGCTAGAAGCACTTAACCAAGTGCGATACTATTCTCAGTTACAATCTAAACTTAATTACTTTTTGCCACTTCTCAAAAACTATATTAAAAATGTTGATTCCTGTGAAGACTGTCTGTTAGCTATCGAAGACGCAGCTAAAGGAGAAGAAATGTTGAATTCAGTAGTGGTCAAAGTTATACATCATTTATACGAGACAAATGTACTTAGCGAGGAGTCTATACTCAAGTGGCATGAACAAAATGACACCGATCCTTTTGGAAAGAACATAAGAGAAAAAACATCTAAACTCGTCGAATGGTTAAAAGAGGCTGAAGAAGAAACAGACTCTGGTGAAGATGACAGCGAATAGAATGTTCAAATTAAGCATTACATTTCTTTTTTCCAACATGATTTATATAAATATATAATAATTTATTTTTACAAAAATGTATTCATCATTTCATTTGATATTCTTAACACATAATAGGTCAAAACAACATGTTATAAGTATATATAAAATTAGTTCGTTATACAGTTGCATTAACAAAAGTTTATATGATAAAAAATTGATTTGTATTATGGCTTAAGTATAAAAAATACAATTCTATCAAGTAACAAAAATAATTTGTAAAATTGACAAAAAAAACTAAAAAATAACAATTTAATTAAATACACAGCCAAAAAATCAATTTGTTTATAAACCTATGCTTAGGGAGAAAAGAAAATGAAGTGTCTACTTTATATAATTTTAATTTTAATTGGTAACTAAAGCGTTACTTATATTTTCCTCCTGGCATTTTTAGTGTAGTCTTTATGATTAATACAAGTACAAAATAATAATAATAACTTAAAATCATCTAAATGGGTAATTTATAACGTGATTATACAATGTAATCATTTATAGTCTTTTTCAAGAGGCATATGGTGGGAGAGGTGAAAAGACAAAGAGTCGTTGTTGTTATCACTCAAACAGACTAGACATAACAAACATTACACAAATGCCAACTAATATTAATGTAAATTGTTTTATTGATTCTTTAACATTTTCTTCTGTTAAAAGTTCAGGCAGTACAGTCACTAAAGATATGTGTAAAAAGCCACCAGCAGTAAATGGCATAATCCATGATGTTTTTGCCTCTAAAAAAATATACATAAATGTAGTATAAAAACACTTAAACAATATGAAGGGCACAGGGGAAAAACGGTAGTAGTCACATTATGAAAATTTTAGAGTATTGCGAAAACAAAGTTTGTGAATTCCTCTCTCCTTCTTACATAAGAACAAAAAAAATCACATTAAATGTTATTCTAATCAAAAATGTATTTATTTAAACAATCTAATGACATAAATAAAAAAAATTAATGGCATAAATTGAAAAATACTATTGAAAAAAAAAATTTCATAATGTGACAACTACCGTTTTTCCCCCGTGCCCGTAATATAAATTTGTTAATAATATACTATGATTAAACTTAGTAACATACTCGTAGGGGTAACAAATTTTTTGACGGACATAAAATATTTTCTTTGAGACTAGTCTTTTAAATTTAACTCTAAAGAAATTAGTGTAAACTTAATTTGCATTTATTTAAAGTTGCAGGTTATTAAATTTATATTATTCTTAAAAATACAATAATATTCAGAGTTATAAAGTTGTAAAAGAAGTGTTTTTTTTTTTTTAACTGAACAGTTTTAAATTTAAAAAAAAATGTATTTGATTGCCAATTACAAATTACTTATAATAAATCATTAACTGTCCACTCCTGATTTTTTGAATAGTATGAAAATAGTGTAAACATTTTAATAATGTCACTTACCAACATCACCAGATACGCCACTGCAATAAATGGCAGTCAAGGCACCTAACATACCAGCTGATGCCGTGTACGCTTGAGCACATGCAGCTTGCCACCGATTAAAGCCGGATTTCAACAGGATTGCAAAATCGCCAACTTCGTGTGGAATTTCATGAACTAAATGGATTTGACATTGAAATTAGTCAAGTGTGAAATAAACTCTAATGCATTTAATTTTGAAAATGGCCAAAAACATTTTTTGTTTATGTTCTACAAACTAAAAGTGTCCGATTACAAATCTATATAACTATAAATTGTAATTTTGACTGAAAACAATATTTTCGTTTATTAATTATAAATAAAAATGCTTTTGGCTGGATATAAAATCATAGTATCTGGAATACAAAATAATTATTTACCAAGTATTGCCAAAGTAGTAAATAATCCAACGCGTGGAGATATCAAAAAACTTCCACCCAACGCCAAACCATGTGTGAAATTATCAATGCAATTGGCAAATAAATTTAAGTAGCCACTTATCTGAGAATTTAAAAGTACATTTTTATTAATAAGTACAAAAAAAAAAAAAAAAAATGAGAACACACTTACTAGTATATTAGGTGGCCCTTTGTACAACGAGTCATTGCTTTTCACTATCTTTATGAGATCTTTTTGATTATTATTGACAGTTGTGACAGCTGGAGTATTAGCAATGTCATGAGTTGTGAGTGCATTGTCTTCATTGTCAGAAAGAGAAAATAGTTTTTCAACAATAATAAACACTAATAAACCAGTAAGAACCCACCAGCCGTCACGGCTCCAATCGTGATGTTTGTCTAAAATATAAAACAATACTCTTAAAATGTCACAAATACATTTCTATTTTCATTATAAGGTTTATAAAACGCCCAGTATATACCTTGAGAGGAGACTTCTTTCCAGACTTCAGGCAAAACGTGTAGGAATACATCGCCCAACATACCACCAACAGAAAAGCTCAATAATAAACGTAAATTCTTACTTCCAGCTAAACATACAATATAAAAAGATAATTAATAATTAGTTTAATTATTTTAAACTTTTAATACTAAAATAAAATAATTATAGATGTTTTTTTAAATTTTAGAGTTTTGTTGAAGACTTTATAACTTGAGATTATGAATATTAACTAATTAATGATCTATTATTTTTTAATATATTTTTTCTATAATTATTAATTACCCATTTCTAGTTAGATTTTAGTGTCTAATTCGTATAATTTAAAAAAACTTGCTCAAGAATCATAAATTTTATAATAAAGGAATCAAAATATATATATTTTTGTTTCATTCATACTCGAACATAACTAAGTCAGTTTAGCAAAACCTACAGGGAATAACAATGTGTATACTACATCTTGTCATCAATAATTAAATAATAAATATTTACTTAAGAAAACAACACTGGTGTAAAACTATAATTAAAAATACACATAGCACATATTCAGTAGTGTAGTCGTGAGGGGATATGTTGTGTGTACTCAACGGTAATGGCACCACTGCACACATTTGTAATTATTAAACTAATTGTTTAATTTATTTATTCAGCTGTAACATTATTTAATCAATGGTTTCAGTTATTGGTCAGTTTGAAATACTGAAATAATAACATTAAAACTTGTACTGTATGTAAAATTTTTAAAGTAGATGTATGTAGTTGTTTATTTGTTTTGTACACAAAATAAATATAGAGGCATGGTATGATGGCACAGTGGTCACTCGGTATCCGAGTTGTGTCAATCGGTGCTTGACCCCGGAAGGGTAACCGTTCAGGATTTTTAGTGGGCAGCCCATGCCATGTCTTTACCACATGTGTTTAACATACCTACAAAGTACACAAATTCAAACAGCTAATTGATGCCGATACTTTAACAAAAAAACATATATATATATATATATATATATTTATTTATTTATCAAGTAGGGAAAAAATTTGTGCTACATAAGTTTGCTTAGTTTTTAAGGTATATTTTTCTTTTTTAACAAAACTCATAACTATCAATAAAATAGTATATAAAAATATATTTGTCAATCAAAACTAACAAAGAGTTAATTAAAAGACAATTTCACTGAGTTGGCAATATTATTGTTCAGATTAACAGTGAACTACGCAATATTTAATTTCAACACAGTTACAACTTCTTACCCAATTTAGTTTTGGGATTAAACATAATATATAGTCTGCCAATAGTATAACTTGCACATAAATAAGTTATAAAACAAAACAGTACACTGTACAGTATAGTTTTGAATTTTGAATAGATAAATGGTTAAACGCAAATTAGACGAGTCTACTGTAGGGGAAAAACATTATAAAGAAGCCAAATAAAGGGAAAGTTTGTCATTTTACATTGTTAAACAACATTACAATTAACTGGTACAAAAGTCAATAACTTATACAGGATGTGTTCAATTGAAAGTGTGTCTAATATGGTACTAATACTAGTGTGCAAGACTGAAAATCATGTTCAAGGTCAATTGAAGTTCTTAGATTTGTTATGCTAAAATCATTTATGAAGAACAATGTAGTATAATAATACATACACATTACTTAATAATAAAATCACAGTAATTTTATTACAAAATGTATAAATAAAAAGAAATGTAGAAAAAAAAATTACTGAATTCATAACATAATATACAATAATTGATAACTATTTTTGTTGAAATTATAGCGTTGCTTTGTTATATGAATTAAAAATACAATATAGGGGCCAATATAAATTTAATTTTAATTATTATTTAGAGTCATATAAAGTGTTTAAACAACTTAAATTGCTCTTAATAAAATTGTAACTATTTATGATTGTTAGTTGAGTTATAATGGTTTTTTTTAATCTAATTTATTACAGAATTATTTATTTAAATTACAGAGCTAAATAGGTACATGATAAAACTTTATGTTCACATGTCACATTAGAATTTTTTGAAAATAAAATGTGTGATACCGAATGCAGTATGAGATACAAATATATTATAATTAGTTTTAATCATGAAAGATATTTTCATAAAAAGAGGACCTAAATACATTTATACAATACGTTCTTGAACAAATATACCTACCAAAAATTATAATGATTTGTACAGTCCGAGGGTAATTTAATCTATACATTTACTATCATAATTCACAGCCCTAAGCTCCCTACATGTAAAAGTATGTCTGTTGTTAACATCATTTTATAATAGCAGACATAAATTGAAAAAGTATTGGATAATATGAGGAGCTATCCTTGATTAGCTCATAACAAGCAAGTAGTTTGCAGTACCTCGTTAGGTCAGAATACGACCTATTTTCTTCAAGCTGATTAGAAGATAAATTAAATCTTATTAGAAAAGCAAATGACGACGAAAGAAGTCAGAATGAATAAGATATTTATCTCTTAATATTGTCAAGGATAACTAATATTTTTTTTTTAAATTTTATCAATAGAATTAATAAACCTATTTAAACTTAGATACTATAATATTTTATTTGAGCTGAATCAATGAAGTTTATTTATAATGACAAAATACTCACATCCTGTTTTTAAAGATATTGTGTCATCGACTGGTAATATGAGCAATGGAAACAGTCCACTCAGGCCTACGATTATAGACCCTATCATAGACATAATCACTGGCTGATAATGAGCTGAAAATAGCATTGTGACAGCGGACTGCATCATGTTTATGTCGGAAGCGTCAAACCATCCGTGGCCAAATAATGTAGAATTTTGCACGTCGTACGGAACCGGCGTTGTCTTCATGTGCAACGCACTCATGTTACTATTTTAAACGATGTAATGCTCAGTCCAAAGCTTACGTCCACTTATGTGTGTACGTATAAGATTGCTATGAATGCTTCTAACACCGCACAGCAATCTTAACGACAACAGTTGTTTTTTTTTTTTTTTTATCTGCTCACTTCACCTAAACCGATCAAAATGAAAAAAAAAAAATCAAAATCATCACTAATCTATAAAACAAACAGCAAGTAGGTGTCAATAATTCAATCAACGCCCTCGTGCGATACAAAGCTGAATCACTTTCAGCTTTGTGCCTCACAATTTATTACAGACAAATACAAATGCAATATGTTACACATACAATTAGGCAAGTATAATTATTGTTTTTTACCCTATCTCTACGGTTTGGTATAACTATCTTGCGATATAACACTCCAATTGGATGGCGTGTATTGGATTAGCGCATTTTTCAGACCAGGTTCGCATTTCACTGTAGTTCAACACGGAAAGTACGTTGTATCTAAATACCGCGGATAATAGGTATACGACCGGGTACACCGACTACTCTGTTTTCTTGTCCGAACCGATGTGACCGACCGAACAAAAGACTCTTCACAACAACAAAAAAAATGCAAACAAGGTACAGCATGCGCCGCGTTGCGGTTGTGTCTTGTGATAGGCGTCAAGGTCGTCGCAATCAACGTGAGAATGCCATATTAATATTATTAGTTGTTACGAGGAAATAATAATAACAAATAAATAAATAAAATCGCGCCATCGGTGGTCATTTTTTACAACTACAACCGAACATCGAGCGTACCCCACTCTATCTAGTGGACAGCGGTCAGCTGCGCGAGATGATCAAAAATATGTATATATATATATTTTAAAAAGTTGAAATTTGTATTTTGAAGTTGTTAGTTTTTGATTTTCTACATCCCTTTCAGTGGTGTACCCGTCCTAGGGGTAGACGATGGAACTGTTGTCACTTGTCCACATTTCCCTAATGCACGTTGAAATTAATTTTTGGTCATTGACTTCTTGTATCTATTGCCATAATTTATATAAGAAGAATAAAAATAAGCACGATTCACATGAGACGACCACCACCGGACGTGTTGAACTTAAAAGGTTATAAATTAAAATAGTTACTTCTGGAAATTATTATAATCGTGGCCCGTAGGCAATAATAGTTTTCAAAAAATGTATGCACTTGTATGTATTAAAACTGGAAAATTGTTAATAATTATTGCAGTCTTGTAAAGTGGCAAAATGAAAATGTATGACTAGACGATTTTTTCCAATATTTTGGTCATTTTAAAAATATTTTATGAAAACTGAGCTTTTTATTATTTTGTATTCAGCAAAAAAACAATCAAAATCTCAATTAATTTAAACAAAAAATGTAGTCTAACCAATGCCGGTTAATACTTACCTACTAAGAAAATGTTACATTATAATATTATATCGGTAATGTACACAAGCTACTATAGGCATAATATAATATTATAATAATATTAAAGTATATGATATTGACGTGTGAAACTGAATACTGATATATTATGTACTTACGGTCAGTATTATTTGCATCGGGTGTATGGTAATTGGCATACATATATAAATGTATACTTATTATACTTACCTAGTTTTTTAATTGACTTTTGATAACCAATCATAATGTGATATTATGTCACTTAAGCAGTAAACAAACCTATAAATAGTGTTTTATTACATTCATGCATACGAAAATTATGACGATCTCTACAAAAAAAAATTGTTTATGACATTCGAACCAATTAAAAAAAAAAATCATAATTTTTTTCTTGCAATTTTTTCCTGAACGTGAGTCAAAAATGTTATTTAAATTTAAAGCTAAGTGTTAATAGTATGCATTATTTATAGTTACATTAAGTGTAACTATAAATAAACAAATTTTGTTTTAGAAGTTGAATAGTTGGCAAAAAAGTCCAAAAACATTAACTAGTCGGACTTTTTTTTAATAAAAACAGGTTATTGCCAACTTAAAAATTGTATTTTTACATATTATACCTAGTTAGTTTCTAGTTTACATACCAGTAATGAGAAGGTATTGCAGTGTATAAAATTAATGTTTTTTTTTCAGCAATTTTTAATGAATTTCCTAATATTTTGATCTAAAAATAAGAAGTGGTCAATAAGTACTGGCACAGTGTGGACATTATATACGTTTTATGAATTATGTATAATGTATGTATACCTCTTAAGTATACTACGTAGACAAATTACCATGCAACTTTGAAATAGGTTTATGACAAGAGATGAAAACGACAAAACAGTGTTTCGATAACACGGAAATCTACCTAAGTCTTGGACTTGTTCACAAAATTAAATGCTAATATATATGGTATTATTGTAAATTCGATAAATACCAACTTACCAATATTGATTCACATTTCCCAAATTTGTGACTCGTGACCGACAAGTTAGCTTAATAGTATTTCGTACAAAATCTCAACAATTGAATACCGATGAAATTGCAGATTTATGATTATATTTAACGTCAATTCGTCAAATGTAACATTTATTCTATATTCAAATACACTATAAAATTTGTTCTGAAGCATGTTATTGTTCATACACGGTGAAGAATGAAACGTACAAATAAGTAATTATAAAGAATAAATACGTCAATGGTAACAACTATAACTGTCAAGCGAGAATAGGTACATTTTTAACGACTTATCGAATCAACAAATGCAAAGGTTTTCAGTCTTCTAATCGCCTGGACGTTGCACTGAAATCATAATTCGCTGATTTCTTCGTTTGTAGGTACCCAATATTTACTTATTGTTCACAATTTGTGTATAAATAAATTACAACACGAGTGATAAACTGATATGCATTGAAAACGAGATGACATTTATTGAACTTATAACCTCCGGAATCTACACAAAGTGATTGTAATATTACAGCTATAACAGTATAATATCATGAATTAGTACAACATTTTTAGGAAAACAGCTCAAAAAGAAACTACTTTATTTAATGTCCCCACAACTCAGGTAATTAGAATACACTCTTACAATATAAAATATAATCTAATAGAAATGGAAGTATTCGGATTTATCGAATTCGGATTTGACGGGTTATCCGAATATTCGGATTTAAATTTCTAAGTACCGTGTTTGACTAACTTGATTCTATAAAACAATAAACATGGAAAGCCAAAGTCATCTTTTCAACATTTCTTTTTGCAGGGTGTTAAATTTTTAAAGCAGTACCCTTCATATGATGTGAGTATAAGGGATATGAATAAGATAGTACGCTTAAATAACATATAAATAATGTTATTAAAAATCGCTTCATTAATGTTAAGAAAATATGTAATATAAATAAAGTCAACATAGATTAATCGTTTTTATTATGAAAAATATCCCTGACCTATTACTTGACCTGTATGAATTTCTCATTTATGATTATACCGCACCGATAAAACGGTATTTTACGAATGTTTCTAAGGTGTAAAATATAGAAATAATCAGAAATTGGCCACAGTCACAGTGAATTTAAATGCTTTCTCAGTTTCAAATCGAAGCTTAAACGTAATTCATGTTAATCGTTTTGGGCCAAGTTAGTTACCAACATCAAACGCTATAATGCATTTACCTATTCGCGGTAAGTAAGTAGTAAGTGCAAAGAGCATGCGTTAAAATGTCAAATTTAAATTATGTATACTAATTAGTTAGTATACTAGTAATTAGTTACTAATTAATTGTTGGTTTTACACTGTGAACATGAAATAAAGCCTAACAACAATTATATTCTAAATACAATTTATACGAATGATTGATTATTATGTTTGGGGAGTTGTATGTAATCAAGGGAGCCATTCGAGTTTTTTGGTACGTCTACCAACATTTAAAACGGACCGAAAGCGCATACAAAAAAACATAAGGCTGCCAAAGCATACATCTCGTCGATCAATAATTGACTGGCATGGTTAAATGAAAATCGATTAAAAATAATTTGCATCGTTTGTGAAGTGCATTCCGGCGAACAAAACAAAATGACGTAGGTAGTCGTCACAAGAGTTTTAATTGAACGTGACCATTTACTCGTTTCGCTACTCAAAACTGGTACTCACCCAACATCGTGTGTGTACAGTGTACTTTATCTATAACAATCCTAATCGAGAGTAAAGAACTACGGGAAAGTGTTGCTTTAAGTATGTGGTGCTTATAATTAAATTGCTAATAATCTCTTCCAATTAGTACTACTATTACAAATATTACATAAGACGGAAAAGTGCATATTGTTTTCATTCTATACACGCCATGCGGAAAAATATGTATTATCGACATTTTTATATTTGTGGCCATGAGCCGTCGTATGTAGGGGAACGATAATGTTCGTAAACAAATGTGACTAGAGTGAAGAGTTATGCTACATAGCCCTTGACTAGTACAAATACCCAGCGCACATATTGTTATTATATAAATTATTATGTATAATATTGATTTTGTACGCAAACAGTAGACGGATGAACCTTATTTAAGTTATACGCTTCACTTATTCTATTTGTTTATGTTTACTAGTTTAAACTGTACACGGCTTTTATACTGTACTGGTTTACTGGAATTCGTAAAATACATTTTATGAAACTCGAGAGTTTGAAATAATCGAAATTTGAAGTTTTAAGAAAATTAAATGTTCTTCTATATAGTAATTAACAATTGGTTTTAATTATAATGATTATAATTTAGAACTATTTCGGTTTTCCAAACACTAAATAGTAAATAGTACTTATTTGTTTAGCCTTTAATTCAATATATTTTTTGTGATTACAATAGGTTATTTTTTTTAAATTAAATATATCATGTAATACATATACATATATAAATATATTAAACCATGCACGTTATCAATTGTTTTGAACGGCACATGCGATAGTTATGTACAGTATTAGATTTGTTGTTGTAGTATTTTTATAATTAATTGACAATAACTAGTGCGATGTGTATTATTAACCACAATTATAATCAATAATAATAAAAAAAAAATTATTAACTCTCTCATTAGCTTACACTTTACATTACTAGGACGTTACTAAAAAAAAAATAACGTTTGCAATTGTTTTTTTGAAAGTCATAAAATCGCTTTCGAGACGAATAAAGATACATAATTCAAATTTTAATTTAACGTTATTACAGTTTTAAAGCTACTAGGATACATTTGCGTAGCCCAGTAAAAGTAATTTTGAAATTTCCATTACAAAAAGCTGTCACGCCAGCTTAAAAGTACATATTGTTATTTTATGTTATTTACGTGTAAATAATTTGATAATAGTATTTGATCGAGAAAATCATATTTTTATAATAATAGTAATAATAATAATAATAATAATGATATAAATTAACATATTCTAAAAAATATACATTGTGTATATAATTATCGGTAATTGTTGTAGTTAGCACTATGGGACTAAAAAAAGTATTCTAGGATCATTGTACTGGCTAACACCAACAACAATATATTTTACCATAAGTAAAAAATTCTAGAAGAATCTATGTGTCATTACTTATTTACAATTTGTATGCTCACTATGTATAGTAATAATGACTAGAACTATGCCCATCGGCTCATTACATTTATCAGCAACGGTTCTTAAGGCCATTTGTATTCTTTTTATTAAACATGTACTTTCATTTGCCGTATATTAAAGGTACGTTTAACTTATAGTATTATAATTGTTAGTAGAGGCACATGATAATAAAAAGCAAAAAAACACTTTTAAATAATTCTTATCGTACAAGTAGTGACGCAAGTTTGGTTGCCTATCGGCCACCTTTAAGAGTTTATCTACTTATTTTACAGTTAATTAAATTTTGCATACTATTTTAAATTGCAGAACATCGAACAAATAAAATATTAATAACGTACAACCCTATTGAAATCCGTACGAGTCATCCTATAATAGTTCTTTCAAAATATACAACAACACTCGAGCAAACTTTTCTCCTTTTTTAAATAACTATTTGTATTTAAGCAACAATTATCTCGACAATTACAATACATTTTCGAAATAAACACTAAACTCAACAAAAAACAAACATTTTTAATCGCGTTTTAATGATTTTACTTATAACTGTAAGATTTTATTTTGTTTTAATAAAAAGATTGACTACAGATTTTTAAAAAAAATGTACATGCCTTAGTGAATCCGAGGTCCCGGTTAAAACAAACATTCCTATGATCAGGATTCTAGCTAGAAATAATAATGTAAGACCACTGTACATTGTGTATTCATTTTAAGGATTCACCCTTTAAAACTAAGCATGTACAATGCTTAATATCCACCCCTCCTTAATTTGTAATAATTAATTTTGATCTTACCCAAAAATGTATTTAGTCCTCCCTAAGAAAATTGTCTGTCGCCGATCGTCGGCCCGTTATTAAAAGGCGTACATTCTAGTACTAATTAAGCGTTAATTATTAGCTTAATGGCGAATAATCAAACTGTACTGATCTAATAATGACCATAGGGCGTACCTACGAATATGCGGTTTCTGGCAAAGGTTTTGCCATCCAAATATTATTGTAATGAATAATTGTCCGGACAGTTATTGGCGCGGTTTGATCTATACGAGTATATTATTAATAGTATTTTACGGGAGCTCGTACCGTATGATCTATTTTCAGCCAACCCCCAACCGTACTGAGTTAATGCCGGATCGGTTCAATTGTTCGATTTCACTGGGCAGACCGTAGTCCAAATGCTAGTAGTGCCATTCGGATCCCTGTCGATTCCATCACAGTCGTCCGATCGGTGCCGGGCCAGCGGACCACGATAATAATAAGACCGATGCCTTAAAACGTAGCGCAGTGATCGTTGTTGTGATATTTTCTGGAAATTTCTAATCAAAATTTACGTGCAAAATAATGGACTCGTGGTTGTCGGTGGACGTGTCGGCCAACGCCTTGACCAGGGACAGCCGAGGCTCCGTCCGAGGAGCGAAAACGGTAAAACACCATAAGTGTTATCACGGTTTAACATATCAACTGTATACATATATTTTTTTTTGCATATTTTATTTAACACATACAAAAAAAAACCTCTACCGGGCTACACATTGGCAACGGGCGCTTGGTTGTATTAATAGTGTGCACCATAGTGTTAACTGTACACACTAGACTCTAGAGAGGTTCCCGCCGTCGTTTACGGGATAGGCCTTAAAAATAACTTTTCCCGTCTCCCGTTTTAAACGCTCGCAAGTAAAAACATGATGACATGTTTGCCAGTTTAGGTGCAGTTCAGTGCCGGCTATGTGACGGAGTCGAAAAACATTTTTTTACTTAACACGCGGCGTTTATTTTTCCGATTTGCCTGGAACTTTCGAGACAATATTATATTATGGATATATCGTCAGACGTCAGTATAAAATATCATATCATTTACCTATTATATACTCGATCAGACGGACTAAACAAAAACACTCATGATATCATGTACTCTTTGTGTTGCCCGTGTCACAGGTTTGGGGACAGTTAGCATTAGAAGCTTCTCAGGTGTACATTGATGACGGTTCGGGAGGACCTGCCAAGAGTCCGTACTTCGCAACGGTAAGACGAGAACCCCAAGGCGGTTTGCCATGTATTTTGGCAAATCACATTACACATAATAATATAGAAAATGTTAACATCGATGCAACCTTTAGCGCACGGAGCCCGGTATAAAGCGTTAGAATCTGTATTATAATAATAGTCAAACTTGCCATTGTGTATTAAATATCATGTTAAACGTCAAATTCCATTATCCGTGCCAAAACCGCTTGGTGCAACACAGTAGTCAGTAAAAGTGCATATTCAATACCAGTAAACACTTTTTAATTTCCATGACTCACGTGCAGAGGTGGGCAAAAAATATCAAAGCATCAATTGATTCAAGTTTATTGATAAATCATAATCTAGTTCATTGATTGACTATCTATATAATTAATACACATTGTAATTATAAAAAATAAAAATATACCAAGAAGTAAACTTATAGGTGCGTTATAATTTATGAATGTATCAAGATGCTGTAGGTTGTATGTGCTTACCTCTGCTCACGAATACATTTAACAATGGGGAAGAGATAGAAAAAACTTGATAAATTATCGCGGAAAATAATGTTATATTCATAAAAATACTAGTATAGGCATTAGTCAGCTTAGTATTTGACGTGGTAAACAAAATAATTTCTGTTTTTGAACGTTCATAAAAAACAAATCACGTTCAGGTAATAAAATTAATACTTATCGCTAGTTTTGGTTGAACCATTGCACTTACTCGCATATCATAATAACAACAACAATATTGGTAACATGCTCATCCAATAGGTCTAACCAATATCGCTTATGAGTTATCTGGGTAGTCTTTATGTCTTTATTATATTGTCTTTACTCGGCACGGTTGTAATAATAATAATAATTACATTAATAGACATGTAGACATTTTCAAGGGGAATAGCCTAGGTTTAATGATTACGCGTTTATCAGTATAGGCTAGCGATTATACATTGTTTACAAATATTTAATTTATACATGGTAAACTTAAATAAGTGTATACTCGAAAATTTATTTTTTTATCTACGTATCTAGTTGTTTTTACCTACAGTGTTTTTGTATACAAACATATACATAGAGTTTTATCGTTTAAATATTATTTTAATACACTTCTCAAATAACTTTAATTATAAATATATATTTATATAAGAAAACAAATTGTTATTATATTATATAATAACAATATTTACTATAATAATAATAACATAAAATGATACGAAATATAAACGAATTAACGTCTACGGTATAGCTAACAAGACATATTATTTACTTTCTCTTGGATAATATAATATTGTGGTATTTTTTTAGGCGAGTCTCATTATGACTGAACACGGTCATAGATTTACTCGATTTCCTAAAGCATGCGACACCAGTGTTTGTTTAAAGTTACATCATTGGAAAGTGTATACTACTTACCTAATAACTAAACAATAATTTTAATTTTTAACTGCACTTCTTTAAAAAAGCTTAGGGTCACTTTGTTATCATAATTCATATAGCAGTATGTACTTCTCAAAATGATTTTGGCAGGCAGTATTAACAATACAAAACAATAAGTCATTACTGTATATATTTATATACGAACAAATCGTTTAATTGCTTTTACGCTGATAATATAAAGTTGAAATTTGCAACATAGTAACTCTGAAGCTTATTTTCCAGGTATTATTTTGGTATTTTATGTGAGGACACTAGTTTGACGTTTGTGTAAGTCTTAATCACACCCTATTCATTAAGAATTTATAGAATATAAACATTTAAAAAAATGTAACAACTCTTTATTCTCAATTAATATGCGCCTAATTTAACGCATCATATTACTAAAGCGAATTTATATTGACTAGAACAAGCCATGTTAATTAAAAATGTACACTTGTGCACTTATAATATTACAAAACATAGCACTTACAAAAATGCTATAATGTTCAGCCTGCGTTGCATTTTTCATGGAAACTTTGTTATCTACGTGTACGCTTACGGCTTAACCATTAATAGGATTGTTTGCAATAACAACTTGTTGTCCTGGGATATTTGTATTTTTATATCATAGGCAACATATTTGATACACACAACAAGAACTACGCTTAGTACAAATTGTTGTCTTTTGGTAGTAAAAAAGTAAAAACTCACTTCTATCACAAACCAATGATCTTTGTACTTAAGTATTGCACTATTTGTTGCAAGTGTACACTAGTGCACGTGCCAATGAAATGCGTATTTTAAAATGGCGGATATTACCATCCATTGCTGGTATTCAATTATCTGAACGAAACATACATTTATTTTTATCGTGTATCAAAAAAGCGAGTTTAAAAATGACGATTGCAATAAAATAAAAATATTTTAAAACTAATATGGGGAAAATACAAATCTAAGGTTAACCAGAATCCTGACAGAGTGAAAATGTACACAACTATAATATTGCAGCGGGTATAGGCTATAGCTATCAAACACGAGCGACGTACACTTTTCCTGTTACCCATGCACAATAGAACATGATTAATTATTTTGCCAATAAATTGTTAAGTTTTTAGTAATAATTACCAGGAAAAAACGCTTGAAACTTAAAAAAAATAATTTTGACCAATACTATTTCTTTACCTACGCTTGTTTGATGAGTAACTTTTTGAAAGAATATCAAGATTGTGGTTGGACTGTTTTGAAATCACATTCATAAAACTTGAACGCCGCTGCTTACTTATGGTTCTTATTGTGAACTAAACAACTTAGTACGTATCTCAATAAACGCTCAGAACCACAGTAAACAGTTGTGAATTATTGCACTTAATGCTTTTATGTAACAATACCACTATTTAGAGAGAATTGAAACCATTTATAAACGCGGTTGAACGTATAATAATTATTTTCAAATAATATACTTTCTATTTTGTTTTCTTTCAGACAATTGAAAAGTTACCGGACAAAGTGTTGTTGAACATATTTTCGTACTTGAGCCACAAACAAATATGTAGCGTTGCTCGAGTTAGTAGAAAATGGCGCACTATAGCTTACAACACATCTCTTTGGTACAGCGTGTCTCTGAGACCTGAGGTGTCAGGACTCCACGTCACGTCTTTAGATTTCCTGTTGTCTTTAATAAGGTACTGCGGCGAATACTACTGTTTGCCGTACAAAACAAAACCATTTTAATCTGTTGTGTTGACACTATAATTATTACAGCGTGAGATTCGGCTCTTCGTTGCGGTATATCGAACTGCCCATCGAGCTCATAACGCACACGGTACTGCACGAGCTGGCCAACAAATGTCCTAATCTCACTCACATGCTTCTCGACTTTTCCACCGCCATGCAGCTGCACGATTTCAGCGAGCTCCAAGCATTCCCGACCAAACTGAAGTACCTTTGCGTTTGCCTGTCCGAAGTTATCTTCATGGAAGGGTTCATGCGGAAGATTTACAACTTTATCAACGGACTGGAAATACTGCATTTAATAGGTGAGCGAATTCCTAGCTCGGAATCTTAAAATAAGATCAGTATTTTGGAGCAAGGGCGGTGTCCCGTGGCGCTGTGTTTATTGTTAATTTGATCATTCTGGGCTCTGTGCGGTTTTTGTCCTCAGGAACTTACGAAAAAGTCGAAGAAGAGGAGGAAGAGATCTACGAGGTGATAAACGTGCACAAACTCAAATCGGCCACTCCCAACTTGAGGGTAATTAATCTCTACGGTATTAACTTTGTGGACGACAGCCATATAGACGCGTTCAGCTCGAATTGTATACAGCTGGAGTGTCTGGCCGTCAATTACTGCGCCAAGGTGACAGGTTCCACGATGAAGACCTTGTTTCAGAGGAGCAAACGGCTCAGGTGTCTTCTCATGAATCAAACGAGTAATTATCATTAGCGCATAGACCTGACGTGGCAAAAGAAAAATGTCAAGTATATTATTGTGCACAGATCTAATCAGCGAATACGTGATGCAAGTGGACTGGGAAAAGTCTTCGATCCAAGAGCTGGATGTGAGTGCCACAGATCTTTCGACCGAGTGCCTAATAGACATGTTGGTCCGGATACCTAACCTTAAGTTCTTAAGCGCCGGTCAGATAAACGGGTTCAACGACACTGTGCTGAGCGCGTTCATGGAACAGGGAAACGCCAGGAGTTTGATCGCCCTAAACTTGGACTACTCGGATAACTTGACGGACGAAGGGCTGTACAAGTTTTTGTCCCGACACGGCCATCAGCTTCAGGGCCTCTCGCTGGCTGGAATGCCGCACATCACTGATCAATTGTGGAACACTGTACTGCCCGTGCTCACCAACGTCAAGTAATCACTTTAAACGACATAACATTTACTTGCCAAAGTACACCATTTGGTCTTACATTTATTATCCCAACTGCGTGTTATACCTCACACATGGTTTAAAATATGTTTTGTTATTATACTCTGTTTTAAAATTCTATTAAAATGGACTGACCTTATGTATGGTTGCATACAACTTTTTAGGTCTCATAAATTGTGTTTGAACCAATCACAGTGATCCAATAATTGTTTATGGAACCGATAATGTTGTTTGCAACATTAAACTGTTAAATTGTCTTCATATATGACAATTAAATACCAAATTGTTTTTATTTTAGGATAATGGTAATGGGTACCCAAGAAAGATTGGCCGGTAACATACTGGTGGATCAGCTCATGGACGGCATTGCAACGAACTGTCCGAAACTGGAAAGACTGGAGCTGAAATGGGACCCGGACAACTTGAGGTTCTCCGACAAAAGTCAAAAAGCCATAGACATATTTCGAGTCAAATGTCTAAAGCTTCGGTGTCTGGTTTTAAGGTAATACACGCATACAACAAACACGGCGACGGTATAAACGTGTAAACGAAAACTACCACGGTCGTTAAATGTTTTTGATTTCTTGTTTTTGTACGTTTCGTGTAGTGATGGGAGATATTACGAAATAGTGAAAGCCAACTTCGAGAGAGCAGACCGTTTAACTGTGGTCAGGACCACTACGTGCTGTAGCGTGTCCAACTATTACCTGCTGCACAACTACAAAGATTTGATATTCAATTAGCCTTTGAGTGTACGATATACGAATAAGATATGAATGTAAAATTAAGTACAATTTAATATAAGTTATTGTGACTATATTATTTACTATTATGGTGTTGCTTGGGGAATTTAATGAATTATTTTGTACCCGTCGTCCACCGTGTTGACCTTCGTGCGCGATTACATAAGAGAAAGCAAAACAATTTGCTTTCACCTTCGACGAAAACGTCTTACGGAGAAAGTATAGTTTAAAGATAGGCGGTTTGCCCCGCAAACGTCCGAGTTGTTTCCCGAACGTCGACCGAACAACACCGTGGAAGTTAATTTGTTGGTTTTGCTTAAATTTTTTTTCTCCGACTACTTTTTGAGACTGTTCAAAATGCATATCAAGTACGTGAACATCGAGGAAAAAATCGCCAAGCGATTGGACGATTTGTTCGGTGTAAAGGACTGCTTGATCGAAGTCAACCCGGGTCAGGTGATACTTCCGCCCAAGTACAAGGATTTGGGAGAAAGGATTATGAACATGGAGGTCAGGACGGATGACGTATGGCTAGTGTCGTATCCCAGAACAGGTACTAGACACATTTTGTATTATACAAATAATAAAAAAAACTATTATTTTTGTCCATTATATACCCTTCCGGGTTGGCCGGTTCAATGCGGTTTACAAGGCGTTTCTGGTAGGCGTGTAATTCGTTACGCTACATTGAGTTTAATAAATTACTATGATATTTTTTCCGTTACCATTATAAACGGTCTATATGTTTTTAGGAAGTACATGGGCCCAGGAAATGGTCTGGTGTATTTGCAATGATTTGGATTTCGCAAAAGCCAAGAGCATGATCGGTCAGTCGAGGACGCCCTTATTAGAGTAAGTGATTTACACACTATCGTTGCGACTGCCACACTACTCGTTAAACAATACAAAAAAGAAACGGAGAGACACACACGAGATGCAAAGAGTCAAACATAAACTATTAACTATAAATAGAATAACTATTAAAACTATTAACGATATACACACGATTTTATAGATTATACGGAGTAGAAGTCAAATTAATTAAAACGAAAAATTAACACATTTGTTTAGTTTGCAGCTCAACAATTTTAGAACAATAATAAAAGTGCACGCTCGTGCAATTAAAATAAATCAGTCATGTGATGTACCGTTAATTTGATTTCGTCGAGGCGTAGTACAAGAATTAATTTAAGGGGCTTTGTATAGGCAATTAATATTGCGTCTATTAAGCAAATATTTCAGTTTCTCAATTTGTTTTCGTAATATGCTGGGTTACATCTAACGTTCATCTCATGTTATTATGTTTTAAAGGTTTATTTAAAATAATTTGGTTTGACAACTAATAATGGTTATGTCAGTGAGAAATTACATAAATATGTTTATATAAATCATAATGAATCGAAAAAAAAATCGTGGATATCGGTGTTAAGTATAGACAATATTTATGTAATTTCTCACTAACATTACCATTTTTAGATGTAAAATCAAATTATTTTAAATTAAAAGCAATTATGTTCTTGCTGACGTATTAAAAAGTAAATTAATATTATATATTTCAATTATCTTTCTTCCAGAAATAAATGGTTTTAATAATAGTTTTAGTCATTTTTCTGTAATAACATTCATTGCGTATACGCTCACGAATTTCATAATATTTTCGATTTATGTTTTTTCCTTAAACAGGATACATTATAGAGCATGTAGATTTCACATTTTATTTTGTTACTAGTAATTCAAATTACTTTACAATACCACTATTGTAACTGAACACAATAATTAACAAAATTATTTTGGTATATTCAAAAACTAAATACTAATGCGCCCTATAAATAATTATGTTAGTCTTTTTAACAAGGAAAAGAAAAATTGTAGAAACAATATTTACTGGCTATCTATTATATGAGCCTTTAACTTTTAAATCAGTAAAATAAACTAACAATAAAATCACAAGTACTTGTGGTAATAAAATATTACAATAATAATAGTTAAGGGAAGAACAAAGTGAACCACAAGAAATAGAAAGGACATACAGAAAAAAATATTAATTTTTTTTGAAAATGTTTTCAAAAGTTAGTTTATATTTTTAAAATGTATTGATTTCTTGTTTTGGCAGGGGATACATTTTTTCAAAAATCTATTGACAAACATTTGTTTGAGTATTATTTTCAATGTTTTACTTATACTTTAAATGCTATGATACAATTTCTTATATTTTAATAATATTTAAACATTTTGTTCAATACTGTTTCTTTTCTATTGGCAAAACATGATTTCAAGATAGTTTAAAAAAATTAACTAACTTTTTGACAATATTTTGCAAACGTATTAATTACTTTTTTGGCTGTATGGACGACCGATGAGATAATATCGCAAGAGAAAATAAATGGGGACAAAAAAAAAAAATAATTATTACTATTATCTAAGTATAGAGTTAACATTAAAATGGCTAATTACGTTTATGGACGAATTTTAGATTGACAGCACTTATGGGAAACGATACGAGTAAGCTGAAAGACCAATTGGGAAACTCAGTGGAACAAGTGGAAAATATGCCTTCGCCGAGGTTCATAAAAACGCATCTGCCTTCTCAACTGTTGCCTGAGCAGTTGAACGCCGTGAAACCGAAAATCGTGTACGTCACTCGCAATCCCAAAGACATGTGCGTGTCTTATTATCACTATTGTAAACTAGTGCACGGTCTACACGGTTCGTTTGACGAGTTCTGCGAGCTGTTCATTCAAGGGAAAACTCCAATCGGACCGATATGGAGTCACATTCTGGGTTTCTGGCAACAGAGAGACGAACCGAACGTGCTGTTTCTGAAATACGAAGATATGAAGAAGGTGAGCGAAATAAACAACGTTGCCGGCATTTTGCGCTTTTTGTGACCCACGGTTGTAATTTGCAGGATTTAAAGGGGGCCATAAGACAAGTGGCGGCTTTCTTGGAGAAAGAGCTGACAGAAGAACAGGTGTCGGCTCTGGAGGATCACTTGAGCTTCAACAGCATGAGGAAGAACCCCGCTCTGAACTTGGAGCCGCTTCTGGCCATGATGGAAAAGCCCCAGGCCGCAGACGAGAATTCAGACCAGAAGTTCATCAGGAAAGGAAAAGTCGGAGATTGGAAAAACTACATGTCCGAAGAACTATCGGCCAAGTTCGATAGTTTTACGGATGAAAACTTAAAAGGCACCGACCTTACTTTCGAAACGAGCTAATATGTTCATATATTTAATTGCGCTGTAAGATTACCCGTAAGACTTAGTAAAAATTAATTATTAATGTGTATTAATGTGTACTGATTAATAATGTATTTACACATTATACTTAAGTATAGAATTCTAAGATATTTTTTTAAATAAACTTTATTTAACTATAATTTTTTACATGCCTTTTTTTAAATGTTAAAATATCCATACATTTAGGTCTATACCTTGTTGCTAGTTTAAAAGTGTTGAAAATGATCACACTTATGTTGGTCTTGAAAAATTACGTTAAAATTGTTTTGTATACATTGCCAAGTAAAGGATTAAGAAATATGTGCGTCTATAATATATTGTGTTATTGCACATACATTATTGAAATTTGAAGTATTATTTTAAACAACAGCGTCACCAGCTAATAATTATGTCATTGTTTTCAGAATAAGGGACTTCTTAAAATTGATTATTTTAAATAAATGTTCATTAGTCATTACAATACACAAGAGAAACAAACATTATCTTTGATTTGATTAAGTTTTTCATTTTTAGTTTCAAACTTACACCAAAACACTTTTCAAAGTTTATTTATTGATAATTGTATTTCTACCGACGTTAAACAAATTAAAAATGCGTTTTCAGCAAAACATAAATGTTATATTACATATTATTCTATTAAACTAAATTTTATTTTGGACTGTATAGTAATACAATTATATTTTGATCTACTCGCTAAACTATTTATGAGTGTATAATATTATAGTTAAATATTATACAATTATTAAATAGGTAAATTATTTAAAATTTAAAATTTTTTGTTGGTTTTATAAACATTAAATAGTTTTTAAGCGTTAATATCATAACAATACATACAAATCTAAAACAAAATGTTAAATTAACAAATGACACAATAAAATATATAATATTATTTATTGCTATGTGACATTATATTTGTAACGTAAACAGTAAAAACTATAATAATAATAGTTATAAATTAATAAACAAGAATAATTTAAAAAATATAAAATAATTATAATAAATTAAACGTCTATAATAATTTAATAGTATTTAATTGATCCGTAATACGTTTCTAAATTATTGAAAATCATATTTATATTTGCAGCATAAGACTGATGTCTGTTTTATTTGTAAGACTAAAAGATTAAGATTTTAATTTAATTTTCAACAAAAAAGTATGTAGGGAGGAGTCTAGTGTGAAAGTTACAAAAATTATTGAATTTTAAGGTTTTTTTGGTGATTTATTTATAAAGGCTAAAGCTGGTTATGACTTTTAAGTTGTGCGTCATTAGTCATTACCAAGAAGAATTACAAGAAAATTTTTTTTTAATGTTGTTTTTCAGTGAGAACAGAAATATATCCTTGAGTTTGGTTGTTTCGTGATTTCATATATATATATATATAATTAATAAAAATTCAAAAATTGCTTGAATATAAAGTTATAATTAGAAAAAGTTGCTGTTGTGTTGTAAAAATACGGTTTCATTAGCATACAAACACGTTTTACGTAGATTTTGTCATAAATAATTTGTTTCCAAATGACAAAATTATTAACTTAAATCAAATACAAGCTAAAAAAAACACACATTCTATATCTAAGTACAGAAAAAAATATTGGTTCAGTGGTTTGCGAGTTATCATGTCAATAACCTGTCAAAACGGTTTGAAAATAAATCATCTCAGACTAGCCAAGCACGTGGCGATATAAATTACATTACCAGTTCGTGAAAATCAGTACTTAATTTGTTCAAATAAAATTGCACACCGGCACGAATGAGAAAACTTTTTTGGGGTACATAAAGTTCTTCGAAAAAGACAATTTATATATATTAACAACTCGAGAAAACAAAAATACAACTTTAGACATACACACTTTTTATAATTCCTTCTAAATGTCTACCTATTCATGCTATTCTGGTTGGCAATCTCATTATAAGTATAACTAAAAATATAAAATCATGTATATAAATTATGTTTGTGATGAAACCCATAGTTGTTTCAAATTTGAAACACCTATTACGACGAATACCTTCAAAACAAAAATCAATCAAAACTTAGTCCGCTATTTTCCAAACACTCGCCTTCCCATTCGTCGAATAATTTCACAAACTCTTGTGACATCTTCTCTTTGCCACCGCCTACTTTGCCACTCCTCATGAAGCTCCCATCGGCGTCGATTAGATTGTACGTCTTGTTGATTTCTATTACAGGTTCGTAGTTTACCGCCCTGTTGTTTTTCATGCTCTCGAAGCTCAAGTGATCCTCCAACGCCAGCACTTGATCGTCGGCTAGATCTTTACCCAGGAACTTGCCGGTCCGGCGAATGACCGACCGGAGGTCCTGCAGAAAACCCAAACGATTATAATACGTACAACTCGAATGCGTTTGGTTTGTCGGACCAGATTGCTGATAATATTGTTATTACCCGTTTCATGTCTTCGTATTTCAAAAATAGTACCCTCGGGTCGTTCCGTTGTTCCCAATAGCCGAGTAAGTGGTCGAAAAACGGACTAAAACACACTGTACAACACATGTCGTCCGTCCGTTAAAAAATAGAAAATATTATGTCATTCCGTTTTCGTAATGCAATTAAAAATTATACACTTACGCGAATCTGAAGTGAAAAGTTTACAGAAATCATCGAAATTTCCCTTGTACCCTTCCAGCAGTCGACAATGGTGGAAGTACGAGAGACATGTGTCTTTGGCGTTTCTGGCCACGTACACGATCTGCAAGTGAATACGCTTGTTTAAATAAATAGTTTTTATTGAAATTTAATGAAGGAAAAATACCACCAGAGCTTTAGAGAAGAACTCTTCCGGTTAAAATTTCTCTGTTTAGAAAACTAAAACAAATCAAATAAAAGAACTATTCGAGCATTGTCATAAAATGACATTTATAGCTAAACAGTGACAAAACGGGGTTTGTTAAAGCCATTTATAGTTAACTTTAATGACTAAAAATAAAATATTGCACGAGGGTTATCAACCATTAACCTCTCTACCGATGGAATAAAATAAAGCTGTGATGAGTTAAAATAGTGTATGTTGTAGTATTATATGACAACTGACATAGTTGAATAAGCAGCATCTCATCGTCAATTCACATTATATAGTTGCAACCGTGTTTACTTACTTTGGCTTTGGTCGACTGATCCTTCAGTTTGGTGGGCAACAACTTGTACGGCAAGTGTGTCTTGATATATCTGGGAGATTTCATGCGATTGATGTACTCGATAGAGTCCAACACGTAAAGCGGAAGTTTAAGATCGGGTTTTTCCAACAAGTCTTTCTCATAGTCAAAAAGCGGCGTGTGACTGAAACGATATAGTTAAAAATAACCGAATTTGTTTGGTTTTTTTGCTCAAATAAAATGTATTTACTCCAGGAACGGAAACCGTTCGGGAAGAAACTGTTTGGCGCCTTCGAAATCTAAATCGCTCGATATGCACCACACCATCTCTTGAGTCCACGTGGTACCTGGAAACAAAATGCAATTTATACTTAAGCCCACCTTGCGACGCATAACGCGACGTGACAACAAACGCGATTATTGACTTTATTTTTTATCGTTGATAACATTGTATTATATACCTACGATGCACCTTCTTGTCAATCATCGGCTATACACGGCCTTCTATTATCTCAACAGGTCATAAAAACATAATGTATGAATGAAAAGACCGTGGCCAAATTACACTCAATATATAGGTCGCTGGATGAAATATGCTATTATTATATTTATTTACTACTTGCAAAGAATATGGGCCTCACTGAGGAGCCTCGTAGGAGGCCCAGGGTTATAAGATTATATGAAAAAAAAAAGAAAACATAATTAGTTAGTAATGTAACATACAGTTATGAACAATTGACATATGCAGAGAAATAAACAGGTCAAACAAAAATATTATAGAGCAGACGGTTAGAGTGTTGAGTAATTATTTTAATTATATGCTCGGATTTTACTAGTTCAGATTTAAAATCTTACACAGGTATTTATACTGTACTACAGAGTAGATCGTATTAAGCGAGATATACTTGGATGAACTAACAACCTTGGTCAGTCAGATAAAAAGTATTTTTTTTAGTACATACTTTATTGATGGCGGCAAAAACTCTTGGAGAGTTATGAAGGCCAGAAGAAGAAGAAGACATACTTTATACTTTTACGTGGAATTTTAAAATAATTACAATATCTTTGTTACAACGCTATTTTATGATCATTTTTGTAATTCATTTATATATTATAAGTACTTGATTTATTATTTATCTTTTTTTCAGTTTATTTTTTTTTTTTAAGTAATTTATGTATTATGTATATACATACATTAATTTATTTCGTCAAGTCAAGTCATACCTTTGAAGTTGTTTGAATTATTTGTATTAAAAATAAAATATAATAGTTAGGTGTGTCAGAATTTACAATCGAGGATGATTACCTACATAAAAGATATACATCGGTGACCCTGAAAGTAAAGACAAAATAGAGGTCATAGCGTTTTCCAAAAAAACCTTTCAACATGTTTGCTCATCTCCGATAGAGTTATATTGGAAATCTTAAATAGACTAATAATAATTATTGTTATAATAATGAATTGAATTATAATTATTATTAAACATATTTTAATGGTAAATAAGTCCCTGTATAAATGTTTATTTATTATAAAATGATACCAGTTACTTGATTTTTAATTTTTACTGAATTGATGGACCAATTTGAACCAAAACTGTATTACACGTGTTACATAGCTGTACGCATGGTACATGTTATTATGCGAATATTATGAAATCATTATACCTAATATATTAGCAGTTTTCGATAGTTAAACTGCGTTGTGTGTAAGTATCATATTATGGCGAGTTACACTATTCACTGGTAAGTTTTGACATCGCGAAACAGATAGCAGAGCACAATTAGTCATTTCACAATTCAAGTCTATTCATATAGTAGTATGACTGTCGAATCACTACCTATGTGTGTGTTCATGAAATATTATAGAGAAGTGGATAAAAAATACTCTGCAGGGATTGGCGCCAACCGACACACGTGTGCCCTAGTCTAGAAGTATTGCGTATTGGATAGTTCATCCACTTGGTTTGGACCGAAAATGATGTCAAATGATTGGAGACTTGGCCACGCTCATACAACCCCGACAAGATAGGTCCCCTGAAATCAGGTATATAGGTCTGTGTAAACTTCAAACCTGTTTTGGGGTAGCTGCACACCCATACGTCGTCGTCCCGGATTTCCATGTCCAGGATGCGCTGTCCGAACTTTCTGTAATAAACCGGTAGTACGACGTCGTTGGCTTTAAGGTATCCATTTCGGAAACTCGTCACGAAAGTCTTGTTGAGTATTTCCGACACTTGGCCGTCCACGTCCGCGTATTTGATTTCCGTGGTCATGTTTGCCGGGTTTTCCGTTGACTTGCGTTGTTAAAAAAATCCGATTCTCTCCGACGATCGACGTTTTATATAGACCTTCATCGCAGGCCGCATATTTGCTTTGGAGAGGGTATTGCATGGGCCAACGTTGGTTTTAGCGTGTCATAGGCGATCATATTCGCATGAAAACGGTGATGATCGACGATATTGCCTCCCCTCCCATTTTAGCTAGGTGAAGTTCTACTCTTATTGTTCCTTCCCCGCGGGTTGTTATTATTATGTAAGTACAAGCAGAAAAACAAAAACATGCCGAATCTATCGTCAGTCATCCGAGTAAGTACTTATATTGTGCTGCTGTCTTTTTTTTTTTTTCAATAATCCCAGTGGCCTAGATAACAGAGAAGATTTTTTACAGTTTAAACCGCACATAATAAGTAGGTTTTCCTGCGGTGACAGCCTCAAGGCTCCTGGTGCATAATATATATATATATATAAATGATGAAAAAATGAAATGCAACTATTACATGTACTGGTGCTGTTGGCTTTGGTTGTTAAAGGAAAAATCGATTGCGCCTAAAAAGATAACGTTTACATTATAATGTATTTAGTGTATATTTTTGTTGTTATCCAACCACTATAATTTATAATATTAGCTAGTCCTATATAAGATGTTGCTTACAAGGCCGATTGTCTTAAGTACACACATTAGCGGTGAATGCTTTCAAGGACTGGGTCGGTACATTTGTTACAGCGTACCATATTTTTGGAGCACATCCTAATATTAATGTCGAGGAGTTATTATTCAAATTCACTTGGCCCATTCAGACAAATTATGCATTATGATAATATTATATACTTTAAAATCGTCATCTCGCAGAACGTTTAATTAACACCTAAAGGCGTAAGGATAAGGCTACAGGTACTAGATGATAAATGACAATAATATACAGGATGATCCGAATTGTTTTGATAGTTAGTAGTTACCCACAGAATAATTGTAATTTTGTATGGACTTGTTGTGAGACACTCTGTATCTATCGGTTTCGATGATTTACATAAATGCATCCTACTCCTTCCATGCGTTTAAAAACAAAAATTCAGCTTCGCAGGTGCGGCGACGTCAACGTTTCAAAAATATAATATACATAGTAGTATTGATCATTAATCATACTTTTAGCGAGATCAATCTAATCGGTCTATCGTGACTGACTCAAACGTTATGAAACAAAATGCACCCATCGTTGCTGTACGATTCTTTTGTTTGTAAAAATAATACTCAGTCATGATTTTAGACAATAATTGAATAAACGTACTGTATTTTACTCCACTACCTCTCTTGGTTACATGTAAATTTTAAGTTATCATACTTCTCAACTTGTAGTTTGTAAAAATATTCTTTGTATTGAGATTGACTTTTCTAACTCCCTCCTCTTAAAACCTCGTTTCGTTTTTAAGTTCTAACTTTGATACAATTAATATCACAATACAATAGAGTGTAGAAGATGCTCTATAGGTACATAATATGTGAGATGGAAAGGAAAAAGTACCTCTTGTCGCGAGAATCTAAATCGCAGGAGAGGCCTATACATCGATCAGGGTTGGAAACATATTTAAGAAAAAATTTGATTTTTGTGACAAGAAGTTCTCTTTTTGCCTCACTTATAATAAGCGTCGTTTTCAAAAACAGTAAGTAGTTATTTTTCTTAACTATCCAAAATGAGATTCTAAAAATAACGTTTTTTTATCTGTTTATTTTGTTACTGAAGCAAATTTAATATTCTTTGGAAGCTCTACAGTTTTATCAAAAGACTGTAATATAAACTTATACCCACTACTATGTAAAATAGTACTAAGTTTTTACAATTTTCCACATATTAGTCGCGGATACTGTTAAGTATCACAGTAAATCTTGAGCTGAATGGTTTAATTACAAGCAACCCTTGTTTGAAGTCAGTCCTAAAATATTCTGAGATAGTATATTGATGTGTAATCTTAAATTTTCAAATAAAGGATCTTTGTTTGCGTTGTTACATACATTTCAACTTATTGTAATAAAACTAAGATACCAAGTTTAAAAAAAAACATTAAAAGACAAGGAAATCATCAATTCAATTAGCTATTTATCCTATGACTGAAGTAAAATTTTCAACAATTGGCTTGAAATTCTTGACCAATTACTTAATGATTTTTCTATGTCAAGAGTTGATAATCCTTTATCATTTAATTGTTTGTGTTAAAAACGAGCGATGGGCGGCGGAAATTATTAATACTTTCTTGTATGCTCAGTCGTACACATCTTGAACGGCACTTAGAATAGGCAATGATTTTACACGGTAGATATTACTTAGTAGTAGAATATAAGCAACGCCGTTTAATGTATAAAGCCAGTTAGTCAATAATAAAATATTAATCGATTGAAAAATTACTGATTATTCGAATAACTGTTTACTCGAAAAAATGTATACGAATATAATTTCAACCATGCATTTAGCTAAATTAACTGATTATGTCTTAAATGTAGACAAGTGATATTTTAAAATCAATTTGAATTGTTTTAATAGTTAAATAATACCTTTTTGAAGTTGAGGATTATTGGTTTTATAATGGTCATTTTTTAGTAAAAGTTAATTTATTTTATGCGTTCAACCAAACTAAAACATAAGACAGTCTATAACAAAGAACCGAGCAAATACCTAACAATAATATGCAATATTAAAAAATAACGGTGGGTTTAAAGTGTACCGGATTGTTCATATATACTTTTTACAGCTGTTGTATTGGCGTCTGCTATAAACGTTTGCAAATGGGCGTTTATACCTATCCCACGTTGAATTGCCGTACTGATGCCTACAGGCGCATTTTAATAGTGAAACATATATATTATTGTATTTATAATAATCCCAAGTAATATCCATGAAGTTCCAACGGTATATTAGCTGAAGCGTAACAACCAAGAGCCACACTCACAGTAGGTCACCGAATAACGTTTAAATGAATATTTTATACAGTTCTCTACTGTGAAGTGTGATTTGTCAAAATTGTATTGTGTATTTACTCGCAAGTCATAAAAAACGATTACAAACTACTGTCAATTAAGCTCAAAAAATAGCTTTACACAAAGAACATTTGTTATTTGCTTAAACCGGTTCCGGGACAGCTACTATCTTCTAAGAGAGTGCAATAGTAATGACTAATGTGTTTTGTATCCATCGTTCCTAACCTTACCCACACTGCAATTATATATCGTGAAGATATTTTAATAATGTTATCAAAATACAATTATTAAAAGATAACAAAAAAAAAAAAAAAATAAGAAATATAAGAGAAAAACGACTTTCTCCTACGATCTCTTTGTTGTTTTCATTTTTTGAACATTATACAAGCAAAGTGTCGAAAAACACCTATTTTCCGTTAAATTGTTATACTTTGGCATCAATTTTGACAAGTGAGAATTGTTGGGTATGGTGTAGCAGACTCTAACGTACGTGTTCAGCAGACTCTAAGCTATAAATATATCAAAGCTTCAGCTCAAACTAGGGAGTAGGAAAAAAGTTATGTAATGATTTGTGTACATGTGTCGGAAACCTATGTTAATTCCCATTTAATCTTGGACCATTTTGAGGAAATACTTAAAATTAATATTTTACATTTTTTTTTTTTTTTTTAATATCATTTTTATTATACTTTTAACTTTTTAAGGGGCGTTGAGATTTTAATATGTACTTCTTTGTACTTTTTTTTTTCTCGCATGCATCCATACGTCGTAGGGGCAAGCCTGGTGGGGCATTACTTCACCTAATGATCTTTGTAGTAAAATTAAGTAAATTAATTAATTTAAAAAATGTTTATTCATTTAAATTAAAAATTCTTAAAATGAAACAAAAAAATGATTTTCATTATCTGTGAGCTAATATTTCATAAAGATAAGACAGCAGCCTACAGAAAGTGTCTATTACGGGATGTAAGATTTTGCAGTATTTGTTTGTTTTCACACAGATAATTACAGATAATTTAGTGGCATTTTGTTTACCTCTGGTGCAGATAATACCAGATATCTGTACCTGCGACGAAGCATTACGCGGTCTTGGTAAATTTAACTTTATGTATAAAAGAAATAGTTGAAGCAATTCATAATATAGAATATACTATAAACTGTAATATAATATTAGCATACAAGTTATAACATCATTTATTCACTATTTGTCGTATAAAATAGTTACCTATATGTAAATTAGAGTTGACGGCGCGGTTTACACTTCACTTTTCACTGAACATTTTGGTAAGTTTTTTCCATATAATTAATGCTAATTAATATGTTTGATTAATGACGGAAATATTAGTGATTTTTGTAATAATAGTGAAAAATGTTCAATTTCAATTGAAATGATTTAAAATACTAATATTATGATTTATGATATTATAATATGACAGTTGTACACATAAAAAATATTATATAATATTAAGGTTTGGAAAACTAGAAATTTAAAAAACGCCAACTGTTATAATTTCAACTACGTATGTCAAACATCCGTAGGAATTTTATTTATCTTATTGCCACACGAATTATTTATAGGTAATTATACAAATGTATTTGTGGTAATTATAAGTCAGGACAACAACCAACATACTGTACAGCAGGGTACTACCTGCTACTCATAAATAATAATTAAATACCTATGTTGTCCAAATATTTTAATTATTGTTCATTGAACATGGTTTTATATTGTGACTTAAATAGGTAACCTAAATTGCATAATTATATAAATAACAGCTATACAATGTACATTAGGAACAACAGGCAAAGATGAGTTTATAAGAAATTACATTAGCCATTTCTTAGATTCCCTAAGTAGTCAGACTAACAATTCTTAAAAACCATGAAAATAAACACTTAAGTTAATAACTCGGGTCACCATACCATATACCACGTAATTTAACTATGGAACGTACATATTAATATAGGGTCTATTACCATACATCAAATAATTAAGAGGAAATATAAAAATATTTTAGAAAAGTTATAGTTTTAAAAACATTCAATAAAAAATATTATCATAGTATAGTCAGAAGTATAATATCCATAACATTTTGTGAATACATTTTAAAAATAAAGAACTGTTTAAAATATGTTTTTAAAATAAAACCATTTTGACATTTTCATTTTATTTATTAAAGTCTATAATGATTGTAATGAATAGAAATTCAACACATCTGCATGAAAACCACTGTTATGTCGTGTGGTAAAAAGTTATTAAAAATAAAAATATTGTAATAGACCAGTGCTGCTACACGTGATGATTTCCCGAGATCAACAAATATTTAATCATATTTCTCGCTAAGAAAAATAATAATTATACCTTTCCGCCAATAACATGTTATGCTGATAACGGGACACGAACGGTTCGACTGATTTCCAGACGATACTTTTAGTAGGTACTTATACATAATAAATAATAATAATAATAATAATATATTATGGTTTCTTAATCGAAATCAGCACTCAGCAGCCATCCGAGCCCAGAACGGCACAGATTTACATAAATTACAAAACCTAGTACGATGAGAAGACTTGTGTAAACACTAGTATAATAAAACGTTTTTCCATAGCCTTGAGTTCGACGAACTACAGAAACTACCCATACGTGCATAATTCGTTTTAACCGTTGACTATCTATAATAATAAAAAATAATACCTAGAATATAATATATATATATATATATATCCTAAATTTTTGATTCTATCATCAATTATTATACTTAAAAACTTTTTTTTTTTTAAATAGCTTGTTTTTCATTTAAACTTTGGTGTTTTAGCTATTTAAAAAAAAAAAAGTTTTTAAGTGTAATAATTGATGATAGAATCAAAAATTTAGGAAGCATAGTTACATACTTACTTTATTTGTAAATTATACAAAAATATACTTTTTATTGAAATTAATTAAAGGTTTTCACATATTGAGACAATTTTAAGTAAATTTTTTTATCGCTCTTAGGAACACTGGAAACTGTTGTTACCTAAAAACAGAATATTGTAACACAATGTGCTATTGTATACTCCTCCTTATGGAAATGAAACTACCGAACAGCAGGATTTTAAACACAAATTAACAGCGACCGCTGGTTTAAATTACCCGTAGCCATTATTGTGTTAATACTGGGTACATGTCGTAAGTTAACCTAACGGATAGTTTGTTTTTATAACGTAGACCTATATCTAGGTATAAGTTTATGTTGTTATATATAGTAAACGCGAGTGTGCAAAAAAAAATGTATATGTTTACCTAACCGTGTAAGTTTGTCTCCGTGTCCTTATAATATAATTGCAGACCGTCGCATGACTATTCATGACACACGCAATAATAGGAACCGCTACGTCGGTTCAAGACTTAGGCCTTCTACTTTTTTTTTCCCTCTATTGGTGGCAGTCACGGTCTATTATTGAAATCACCTTAATTCAACTTAAACAAACACTTTTTATGTAGAGATCCCGGTCATTTGAGTATACAAATATTTTATGTATTAGTATTCCTAATATTATAACAATATTCGAAAAAATGTTTACCCACTTGATTCTACCGTTTTCCCCAAAAATATAATTTTATAAATGTATATACTTATTTACCTTTTTGCTCGTTCACACCGCATACCGGTTCAGTATTAATTTGATGGCATTTCAGCCGTTCAACGACCCGAAAAATTATAATAACAATAATTATATTATACAACATGGTATCGATATACATGTAGTATTATTTTACAGAAACATGTTAATATTTTAGGCGAGTATACGAACATAATTTATACCTAAGAATAAGTTGTTCGTTCACTAGAATATACTCTGCATAACGATGTGGATAAATATAGTATGAGAACTGAGAAGTGTCAAGTATAGCAATTAAAATTAGCTCTATCGACGCAACATAATTTTATAAAAAAATTTGACAAATAATATGCAGATTATTAAATCTAGATCAATCTATATTTAAACAACAGAAAACTAAAAATACCTTAATAGTTTCGTGCCTCGTTCGTGTTGATTACACCGAACGCAAATTTATCTCGAAAAAAACAATTTAAACAATTAATCAAATTCAGTAATAATCAATCCAATATTTGAACACTTTTCTGCTCAAGACTTAATACTTAAACTTCATGCTTACGATATAACTGCAGACTATTCTGTGTCCTATAAAATAATATATTTATATATTTTTAATGTTTTATTAGTTTTCCAAGTACTTCATGAAATTGTATCGAGAAAAATATTATGTCTAAGGTAATAAAAATTAAACATTACTTATTAATTTATGTAATATTACAGATTTTTATTTTTAGCTATTGATAGTTCGAAATATAACTAATAAACTGTAAGTAATAAAATTAGTACCTAATTGTATTACCACAACATGTTTCATAAGTCATAACTTCTTAATTGTTTTTTTATTGTAATTGTTGCTTAATAACGAAAATACTCTTATATGTAATAATTATTGTACGACTTATTATTTTGAATATATTTTAACTGTATTATGGGTAATCTCTTTACGTGTAAAAAAAAAGTTTTTATATATAACTCAAAAAATGTTGGCGAATCGGTTCATAAACCAATCTAACTTGTCTTTAAATTTTAATTCGTTTTGCCACGAAATTAGACACGATTAGTAATTGTTGATAAAACATGTTTTTTAATTTCATTCTGTGTCTTTCTTTGTCTACAGATTTTCATGATCCGATGTCTTTGTGTAGGTAGAAAAGATCATAATTTAAATATGTAATTGCTACTTTTTAATAAAGCAGCCGTCAACTAGTTTTTATTCCTTGCAATGTTATCATGTTACAAGAGTAAATCCTTCACATCTGTAGGCTACGGACCGTGGTAAAAGCCTCACGGGTAACCCCTATATAAAAACCTGACTGGTACTCGATATTAAATAGGCACAACGTATCAACGTACCACATTTATATTATATTATACGGTTATCGAATTTGCTGTTATTATTTTATGTCGCTCACGTTCTACCTTTAATAAGCCAACAGCGGTAATAATAATTATTCCTGTTGCTAATATTATTTGTTTTACGCGAATCCGTACTGCGCCGCGACCTTAATGTGGGTCACGCACGAGCGGCCTTGACACCTGCAAACCATTTCTCTGGTCTCTTTCTCATTCCGTCTTCCCTCTCTCTTTCTCTTTTTCTCCGGATACGGCTGCACACAAGTAAGTCGTCCGTCTCTGTCGGTGCTGTAAAATACACATATTAATTCCATTACAACGCGACGCCGTTTTGACTTATATAATCGGAAATTCCAACGTCGGACCAGAGTGGATCCATCCGAATAGATAAACTACGTGGTCATTTTTTATTTAATTTTTTTTTTTTTTTTAGTCTTTCGACCGTCTTATTTGGGTCTCCCACCTCGGCCAGACGCGATTCTTCTGGTCCGGAGGTATGTCAATGGCCCTACCATAACAGGTTTGCCCGCGGTCCGCCTCCTCTACCCGTCGGGCATGGCCACGTCACCGGGAGTACCGCTATGTTAGCCGCACCCCTCCTCTCCACACGTCTACCGCAGCCACGTCCAGGAGCCAGCCCGGTTGTTCCGGCAACGCGTCTCATTCCATCGTTCCGTATCGCACTAGAACAGTCGGAGTCCGCGATCAAATAATATTGAATTTTTTTTTTTTATAATGTGCAAAAAGTATTTTAAACCTGAAGAGAGTTTGTAAAAATCAATAAATTGAAATAGTATTTTTTTTTTTTTTTTGTAACTTGTCATTTTTATATTAGTCATCGTTTATCAGCATTCTATCGAAAATGTTTCGATTCACGTTGAACGTGATGCTGCTGGTGTTGTTGGCCGAGTCCGCGTACCCGTCGATGCACGACTCGAACTCGGTGGACGGCGAGGAGAACCCTTTCCTGGAGGCGGCCAAGTCGCTGCTGCAGGACTCTTTGGCCGGCGGTCAGGGAGGTCAGGGCGGTGGCTTGGGCCAAGGTCTGGGCACCGTGCTGCAGTCGTTCATGCAGTCGGAAGGCGCCAAGTCGGGCCTGGGCTCGATAGTGTCCGGGTTGGCGGCGGCCAAGGGTTCGGTGGATCCTCAGGTCATCGGTCAGCTGGTGACGATGTTCGCAGGAAGCGCCTCTGACAAGTCGGCCGGGTCTTCCAACCACGACAGCGCACCTGGAATCGACTGGAGTTCAATGATGGATTTGGCCTCCGGTAAATTTTAAAACAAATCGATATCCGGTTATGGTCGCGTGGACCAGTTACATAAAATAAAATATGAAAGCTCAATAAAAGTCAAAATTATCATTTTACCGAGAGTTCAATCGTCGGCATTAGGCCCAATTCTGGTACCGTCTATTCCTTAACTGTCGAGCGTTAGAAGCTAAGGCGAAAAACTCCAATTCTTCTTTCTCGCCTTATCCCGTAGAAATGTTGTGTATGAAAAATTTCGATAGCTTTCCTTTGAGTGCGCAGACGAGTATCCGAGCATCATTTGAGGCACAATAACTCGTTGTTGCAAAAGCACGGACTCGGTGCGACTCGGATTCGCATAATTATAAACGTTCGCAACACACATTAGGTATAATAATATGTAACGGTAACGTTTTTTTCTTCTTGTTCTTCGTTTAATAATGGTCAATCACGCTACAGTGGTCGGCGCTGCTGTTTTCGGCTGGTCTGGTGTCAACGAACCATGCATTTTGAGGTTATTTAAAACAATTATTATTATACTTTACAAGTGGATTTTCGTTATTATCGTCATACCTACATTTAAGACTTGTTTATTTTAATAGTATCTCTATTATAAACGTCATTTGACATAATATTATTGTGTAATTCGCTTGCATGTGTAATATACCTTGTACACTCAATTCCGCTCATGATTCATACTCGATGAGCGTAAATACCCAAACAATTCGTCTTAGTCGTGTCCTAGTCTTTTGTTTTGTTTAACTCCACCGATACGATTGTTGACCTATGTTAAAATCTATTAGTTATAAACGTTAGAGGAAAATATCTAACGACGAATTCAGCCCTTTTCGGCTGGAATACCAATTTTATGATTTGCCAATCTATGGCAAAAAGATTGGCAAGTTGCTGGCGGCTATCTACTATCGTGTTCTTTTCGTTTCGTTTCCCTCAGGTTTTATGTCGGCCAGTTCCGGCGCCGGAGGACAGGGCTCGTCGCTGGAGGGATTCATGAATGTTCTGCCGGTGTTAGTGAACGCTTTCAGCGGTGGCCACAAGCACTCGGACGACCCCGAGGTGGAGAACTATGAAGAGCACGAGCGCCACGCCCGCGCCACTTCGTTCCTGCCACCGTTCCTGAGCAGCGCCTACGTGTACTGGGAGCACTTCAAGAACAGCGAGCTAGGCACCACCCTGTGGAAAAACAGCGGTTTGGGCAGTATCCTGCAGCTGTTCATCGACAGGGACGGTCACTTCCAAGTGGACAAGATATTCGAGTCCATGGAAAACGCCACGTTCAGGCGCAGATGGGTCAGGAGCTTGACCAGCTTCGTCGCCGAGTGGATCAAACACGTTTCCGACCCGAGCACGCAGGCCAGGTATAATAATATATACGTATTATAATAATGATATATAATAATACATATAAATAATACACATACACGCTATACACGTCTCACTCAAAATACCATAACTGGTTTTGCTCACCGAGTTCGTTGCCCACCGTCGGCATTATCGATATAACATAATAATATATAAATAACTTTTTTTTTAACCATGATAATATATTATTAAAATATCGGTAGTAAATAGTATGTATTATCCAAAGAAAACATCATATTAAATTATAATACATTTTTAAACTACAATGTCATACTAATAAAGGTCATTGGATAGCTCTCAAGGATAGCTAAATTCCCTAAGATACTAGTTTTGTCCAACAGATTTTTTCGCACTTACTCCCAAAGCGGCGGCGAACGCCGTCAAATCATATTAATATATGATTTACAGTTATTCACAAAAAAAAAAAAACTGTATACCTACATTCGAGTTTTAACCAACGCGAGAACAAAAAAAAACCGTTGTCGGGTCAAGGCCGAAACCAAAATTGTAAGAAAATATGTTGTACAATAAATATGGATCTCATTACGTTCTACGTTTGTTAATTGACTTTAATTTGGACTATACAAGTTAAAAACACAACATTTAATTAAATGTCTGTATACGTTTTTAATAGACAATAGTGTCATACATCCAGAAGTGACCTGAAGTAGCGATTTTGATATTTCGTTTAAGAGAAGAAATTTTTTTGACAATAAGTGCGAAGCTAAAAATAAGAAAAATAAAAACACATAATTGTAAAACCAATATCTTCTCAGCTCCTCATCGAAGCTAAAAAAAATTGATTATCACAAAAAATTACTTTTACTACTTAATGGTACCTATTCTTAATTTGAAATAGTTATACTTTATGCAAACATTATTAATAAATGTATTACAATTAGAAATATTCGGATTTTAGTTTTACTAATATAGTAAAAGTGTCAAAATTGTATTATTACATTTTTGTTTTTAAGGGGAACCAAAAATACCTTATAATTTTTTACCGCTTGTATAATGTATTTGTAATATCTAGATTTGCAAGGTTCCATCATTATGACACTAGAGATACCAATTATTGATAATTATTACAGCTTTTTAACTAAAGACTTTTATAGACGGTAAATAATAATAATTTTTTTGCAGCGTTCAGTCATTAACATTTTATGAAATATATATTTTCCCCTAACCATCCCTATAAAGTCTATAGATTTGCAAATGAACTCAATTTTACTGCTTTGCCTGCGGTTATCGCTCGCCAAATTTCGTCATACACTCGGATTTAAAAATACGTAGGTACTTTTAATGTACACCAGAAAAACAGAATGTCTGATAGGTATTATTACAACCTCCAACCTCTTAGACACGCGGATGATTTATTAACAAAATCACGTGCACGTTGGAATACTGCCACAACCGCTAAATAACCGCTATACTAACTGGTTCCTGTATACGTTTATACTTGCTCGTATAATATGTCTATAACCGCGCCTTACCATAACTACCGACTCGCCGGCGAACGTGGTCTCGGTCAGCAGTGTTTTTTTTTTTTTACTGCAAACTTGACCGTAAAAAACGCCTACAGACTATTTGTGTCGATGTCCCTACAACAAACTAAACTAAACGAACTGTAATGTATCTTCTGGAAAATTTGCCGATAAAGGTACATAACGGTTTAACTGAACTGCTATGGGTCAAATTTATCTAGACGATTTTTCCCACTTGGATTTTTGGAGTTCCATCCTGTTTAAAAAATGTCAGGTTTGAATCGATAGCCTTATGATATGTTGTGTACGTCACAACATAATATAGCGTCTCTGAAGTATAGTTCATACACTTTGCACCTAATACACTTGCACACACTCGTGTCTAGCTAAAATAAAGAACTCAAGCCCGCTTTTTCTGGAATTTACACTACCCCAGAGTAGATTTCAATAACGTCAACCGGTCTGATTTGTTACGTTAGAATTTCCTACTTGATCTACAATTATTTGTCGTTTTGTTTCTATTATGAATGAGAAACATACATTTTGTTCGACCGTACTACAGAGAGTAGAGGTAACGTCTATATTTTGACAATTATCTGATGTAGGATGTATCCTATAGTGAATCATACAACTTGACAAAAATAGATAACCGCGTATTGTTAGTTAAATTTGTATACGTATAAAAGTAAAAGAATAAAAGTTTATAACTATTTGATGCATTTGTTTTCAACAATTTTCGTTATTACTATTGGCATGTAATAAAATACAATAAGCGCGTACAATATAATATTATTGTATTGTATCTTGCTGCAGGACAACTGGGGTCCGGCGTCTGTCTGGTCATAACGATTAGTTTATATCTAAGAGGGTAGTACGCGGGGCAAAGACGCATAACAATAATATGAATGACAAAAAAAAAAGGAAAAAAAACGTCTTTCGGGCACTTTGATGAACACGATAACGCATGTTGCAGGTATTTGTCGACGACCCAGTTCATCATGAACGGTTTTTTGAAATCGCAAGGTTATTCCAAGGCGGCCCAATTCGACCAGACGAGACCAGCGGAGTCGCTGAGTTTCCTCGCCGACGCCGTTTTCAAAAGGCAATTCGGTCTCAAAGTCAACTCGGCCACCTACATCAAACCGGCCATTGCTTACCTACAGGCAAGTTTTGTAAAAAACCTAGAAGGGTTTTTATGTTTGAGGCCAGGACACGTTTGGCGTTTACCCGAAAATATGGGTTTATGCTTACCTCTGAAAAACCCCTGATCATTGCCAATACTGAGTTGCAATATATTGTTGTGTGTCACAGGACGTTTTTCGGTTGGGCCAGAGCAAAGGACTCAGCCTGCAGCACTTGACCTCCAAGGAAATAGAAGACAAACTGTCAGAACTGTTGAACCACGAGATCATCGATCCCGTGCTTAGGGTGTGGAGGATGTACAGGTTCGCCTCGAAGAAAACCAGCTGCGACCGTTACCTAGTGTGCAGTATCAACCGCAAAGGACAGTACCCGAACAGCAAGACGGGACTTAAGCCCGGCGTCACTAAACTGTCCAGGTAAAAGGCAACGACCGATCGTTAATGTCAATCACTTTCCCGCAATCGGAGGAACACGACCCCGAAATCTTTACTTGAACTCGCTCCGTCGCTTCCACCCTTTATCCGCCACCGCATGATTATTCAGACAAAAACTGTTATTAACTGCGGATTATGTTCACAGCTTGATCGCTTCATGGTTCCTATCCGGCCGAACGGGCACGCCGTTCTGGAAACTCTACAACGCCGCCACCGAAGACCACAACTGCGCGGTAAGTGTTCTGTTCTTGTTTGATATATTTTCGATTGTACGCGACACGAGTTAATTAAAAAAATCTTTGGCGTTTCCGCACGCAGGTCAAGTATCCGGCAGACTGTCAAGAGTTCCACGAAGAAGACTTGAGGGCCACGACGGAATACTTCCACAACGAACTCTAATGAAAAATAATTATTCTCTTTTGCGGCGCCGCATATCCCGAAGGCTGTTTAATCGATTCCGGTTTTTAACGATTTTTTTTTTTTTGTATTTATAAATTTTAATTATAAACGGGGTGTACACTAGGTTACTCGGGTACTTAAACCTAGTTTAAGCCACCAATGATAAATGACCCTATATAATATATATATATATATATATATATATATTTTATAAATAATGATTTTTTTTTTTTCATAATTACTAAATTATTTTTAGCGTTAGGTAACTAATATAATACTTAATTATAGTTTATAATATAATGTTAGGTATATTAAGTATAGTTATAAGCTCGCGGCGTATACTGTCTAACTAAATTGATGATTTCAGTGTACTTACGCTTTTGTATTACCATAACGATGATTATACATATCCCACAACAACACACGGTAGAGATAATAAGCCGTGTAACTCTTTACGGGACTGCAATATGTTCCAAAGGTATTCTGTTGTCTTGTTGTTTGTACCTATTATTTTTTCGACAATTCGACCAAACATGTTGTGAAATTGTATGATAAAAATACGATTTAAGTACCTTTTTTTGTAGATTATAATATTGCTTCATACCTTAAAATATGTTAAGCTCCATTGTCTATACACATATTGCTAAATAGTAAGTACAATTGTTTTATGCACTTTTATAATAATATATGTAACTTTAATTGTATATTATTACAATAATATATTTTTATTTACCAAAACCAAGGACTGGTATCTTTTTAAAATTTATAGTACCTACTACTATTGTCATCACTCATCAATAATTATTTTGCATAATATTATTTATGTAATTATAAAAAGATTGAATATTTTTCGAAAAATACACACCAATAAACAATGGTGAAAAGCGGCTGGCGATCAATAAGAAGTAATTATAACCTAATAAGAAATTTTGGTCAAAATTTACTAAGTACGCTGGGATGTAGTCCGAGGCGTTTAGCACACCTTGAATAAATGTCTAACTCGTTGCACCAACAAGACAGACTTGAGAGAGATGTGAGTTATTGGCTAAGTAGGGATTTATGGCAGCTGGTCAAAGTTTAAAATCGCTCCCCTGTAAAATCTCTGAAATCGACTTACACAGTTGTTACATATGTATGTATACATATCTTAATATTAGTATTTTGATACAGTTGGAGGGGCCTGTAGTTAGTTTTGTACCCGGGCCCAAATTTTGAAGTTACGCCACTGAATATGCATGCTTCGTTTATAAGCATAAGATCAATGTTGGATGCAGGATGCTACTTCCAAGTTCCAACTATTTTAATAAAGTAACTACTAACTTAACTCACTGATCGTTTTTTAGAAATATCCTTATCATAACCACGAACGTCTTTAGATGATGATCTATAGTGTGGTAATAATATACTGTATACAATATATACTCGACGGTAAAAGTAATCCATATATATATGTATATAATTATATAAAGTGTTGATATTATTACCTACTGATGGTAATTTGCCATGGTTATACATAAATATTATATAAATACTTGTACAATGAACCTTAGTTACCAACTACTTTAAAAAAAGGTAAATATCATGTTAACAAATGGTATCAGAAACTATAAAAAATATAAGAACAGATAAACTTATTATTATGCGTAGAGAATAAAAATTAAAAAAAAATGATATAGTGCAACCAGTGCATATAGTTGATTAAAAGTGTTTTTAAATCTTCTTTAAATCATTCATTATAAATATGTTTTATACAATTAAAAAATACATTTTAAATATGAGCAGGGGCCAGGAGTTAATATTTAGAGGCATCATAAAACTGTTGCTTGATTTTTTTACTCGATTTGGGAGTTAAAAGTTGTGGAGTTGTTTTTGTCCACAAAAATACAAATATTATATACTAAAACAGTTATCTGAAATATTTTAGGATTAACAGGATATTAAAAATAATACAACAATATAATAATATATATTACATCATTTATTTCATTATAATTTACCTAAAAAATACTGAAGTGTAACATTATTAAAATATCTATGTTTAACATATATAAAAAAATAAAAAAATGGTAATTTGAAAGAGAGAGGCATGTTGACACATAAAATTGTACATTCAAAAAATCATATAATAGATACTATGTGTTTCTACAAATTTATGATTTTTGGTAGAAATAAACAGTTGTCAATAAATTGTATCATCAATTCCCTTTGCCACAATTAAATCCAGGTTGTAAACAAATTTACTCACGTCATAGCATAAATAAAAAATTAATAATACTACAGCTGAACAATAAAATCACAGGATTCTATAATAAATAAATAAATATAATTTTTATGATTACTCATTGGACTTTTTCTTGATGCCAATTTAATATATCATTAAATGACCGTTTTCCAATATTCATACGAATGGTAGCTATTGATTTCAATAGAGTTCTAGATGTTATACTATCTGGTAACTTTGTCAAATACTGTGCACACATTATCGAATCCATTTGCAACAATATGGACTCATTGCAGTGTAAAATTCCTATAGAAAAAAAAATAACAATACAATAATAAGTTGTAATTTATTTGCTCGTTAAATTGTAAATTGAACACACACCTAAAGCAGTTTGAAATAAAAATTGATCATTATCTCTTAAGAAATTATCCCATATAATCGAAGCCAGCTCTAAATTCATTGATTTGGTGTACACGGTATAAATCCAATCTACGAGATACATTTCTGGAGTAAGTCCAATATTGCTAAAATGGGCACTGAGTTTATTCAAATTGTGTTTAAGCAGATCGTTGTAAGTTGAAAAATATGAAGTCATCTAAGTGCATAAAAGTTATATTATACAATTAAAATAAACCCGTTTTTCGTGCATTAACAAGATATTCACTCACTATAGGATGGTTAACAGTATAAAACGTTTTCAGACACGGGGATTCCATCAAGTTTACAAGACCAATAAATGCATCAACTTCTTCCATATTCAAAAGTAAAATAGCCGCTATAAAACACATTCCTTGGATGTACCCAACGTCAGGTCGTAGGCATACATAAGCACTTAGAACTCTTTTTAAAATATCACAATATGGTCCACCCTAAAAAAAAATAGATTACCATAATACAGCTAACCACTTAAATTTATATAAAATTAGTTCTAGTTTATTGTAAAATAACAATAGTAGTAAAATGACACATAAATAAATTAAGTCTTTGTCTGATGTTGAAATAACTGAATATTTACTTGTTGAAAAATACCCAAATGGGGAAAAGTGCGTGTAATATCTAAATAGATGTAATCTAGACAATGGTCACTGTCTTCTGAATCTTTGAATTTATTTGTGGAATTTGAAACACAACTTCTGTAGAGTTCTTCATTGATGAACAGATCATTGCCAATAGCTAATGACCATACTTTACCTCGAACACTAGATGGTAAACCGTGCCACCATAAGTCACGGCATTTTTTTGTTTGACACCTAAAAAAATATATAGTATTATCTCGTTAGAATTATAAACTTTTTCGGTGTGAAATCATTTTTTTCCCAAGGTAAGCCATTATTAATTTGGGAAATTGTAAATAAATTTTATAAAAATATGTAAATATTAAGTGCATAATTGTCAATGATTAATTTCACAGAGCCACAGAGATGATTTTAAGTCTTATTATCCTCTTAAGCCCACACATATCGCATGAAGTGTGCACAGTTTTTCATAATATGCCACATATAAATTTGTGGCTGATAAGCCATGATAATATGCATTGCATATGAAACGTGATGAACGAGTGATCATACGCATACATGTGAAATGTTATAGCCGAGTAATGAAATTTCATACAACGTGTATTCCTTGCGTTTGCCTTTGTTTAAATATTTTTGTAAATAAATAAACATAGAAATCATTTTGATTGGCTTAACTGAATATAACCTACCCCGCCATAATATTGATACTAATTTATTACTAGAAAAAAAAACTGTACATTTGATTCCATTTTGGAATTATTTCTTGCGTCCATATTTGTGTAACATTTGCCAAACGTTCTTCATTCTTTAATTTTTGTTTTAAATATTGCTTATGTTTTTTAGTTTCTTCAGATTCTAAATCAACAATGTAAAATAAGATAATATTTTAGAATTGATCATATATTAAAACAAAACAAATTTTAAATAATATAATGTTTTCTGCTATACATCAAAAATAAAATAAGTACCTAAGTACATACCTTTTTTTTTAGCATTTTGTATAATTTGGTCATACAATCTTTTATGCTCTAACTGTTCACTAATAGACTTAGCTGGTACCTGAGCTGGTCGATTAAGTAATATGAGGGCAGAACTACCAGCTACTTTTTCATCATTTTCACATGTTTTGTTATTTATACAATCGACAGATCGAATGCCAAAATAGTTTTTCTACAAATATAATAAAAACAATTATTAGAAATGATCAGTGGATATTTGATGATTAATTACTTTATGGTATAATTTAGTGGAAGTTCCATTGGCTAAGAATCCATTTTCAATTTTTTTTCTATAAAAAGGTTTAAGTATAGGATGTCAGAGTTGGAAAACTTTTTGATATTAAACATTGATTTACCCTTTGTTTACACAAATTGCATCTGATTGAGGACCAATAGTGTCGAGGAATTCTTCTGACCTTGTTACGCTGCTAGATGACAGTAAGGAAGCATCAGATTCTAAATCGTCTAATCCAAGAGCAGAGGAGCATGCAGTCTGAGAGCTACTACTGTCATCTGAATCAATAACATGTTCCAGATTATCTTTGTCAGTCGAACGACATTCAACTGACAGATTTTCAAAATAATATGCTAGGCACCCATCGTCGAATGGACTAAATGACCGTGATTCATTCATCAATTGTGAATAATATAACTGTTGTAACACACAAGTAAGTATACTATGTACACGTCTTTTAATTAAATTTATATTTAATATTTTTTTGCCATGTTAGTTATTCAGTCGATTGAATTAAAACATTTTAGTCTAGAAAGACATTATTTTCTGTGATGTGTCCATAGACAATTTTCATTCATTACACTATTAGAATTAATATAACAACAAAATACAAATTATTAAACTATAGTAATTAGTAACTATGATAAATTTAATTTTATGATGATAGGTCAAAGATATCTACGATACATTTTAATATTTCATCATCAAATTGTATTCTTATCATTTATAATAATATAATACCTGGATCATAGATATAAACGATAAGATTATTTCCAAGGAGAGATGAAATTAATTATCAAAGATAATTCAAATCTTCTATTAATGGCGGGTTATCGGTAAGTTCATGTCACTTAGCTGGCGCAATTTAAAAATTACAAGTTATTAAATTGTGAATCATTATTATTACATACATATAATTATTTACGATTTGTTTTGTTATGAGTCGTAGGTCATGCCATTACGGCTGGATGACGATTTTTTTTACTTCATTTAAGATGTATTTATTTAGGATTTAAGTAGATAAGTGTAATTTTGTAGGTCATTACGTGTTCTGGTCTTCAGACGGATGTAGACGGGTTTTAAATTTATTTTTTAGTACTATGCATTCGACAATACCTTAGATTGTATAGGTATCTTGAAAGGCTAAATGTGTCATATTATTATATATATTATAATACATACATGTATTGAAATTATGATTTACAGTGCTGTATGACCCAAATTACTTAAATAATAATACTATAGAAATATATATTTTATTTAGGATGAAAAATGAATTACAAATAAGTATATACCTCCTATTGTGTCAATCAATAAAATATAAGGGCATAGGACGTTATATAATCTATGATGTGCTTTCTAATGAGTGTTGTTTTATAAAAAAAATATATAAGATTATAGCACGATGTAGTCGACAACATATAAGAATATTGCCCCTGATTTTGAACAAAGGTTTAGGAAGTAATTACATATTTTTTTTTATTAGAAAAATATACAATTTATACAGTTAAAAAAATGGGTACAATAAGCATATGGTAATTACAAATAAGAAATATATATTAACTGTGTATGGCGTGTTTAAAAATATCATCCAATGGTGGGAAGAATACAGTAATATAGTAAAATTATTATAGTAATTAGTAGTACTTAAAAGTAGTTGATATCTACGAGAATTATAATACTAAAACGCATAGTGTGTTTTATTTAAAAGTTGTACCAAATTGTAATTTTTATAGGGACATTACGATTTGTTGGTGTATGAAAATATTTTGTGTCTTGTCCACCTCTGATTAGAATACATAGTTTTGTAATACATAGTATATCCTTGTATTTCTTATTAAATATTACATCGTTAAAGATCATGTATGCACGTGTTATTCTATATAATGACATTGGTCACAGAAGCATAATTTGTTTTAAATCTCAGCGTAAACCATGATGATACTACTACCCGTTAGTGTTGGTTTTTCAATATTTAATTATATGTGACAAATGACAGTTATAGTCCGTAGACTATACCCCGAACAAATTAATCATCGCAAACATTTCTACATAAGGCTACACAGCACAAAACTTTATTAGTTGCCTCGGAAATTATGTTTTAATGAATTCATTTTGCAACGCTACATTTTGAATTATGGCGGTATATCCGCGAAGTGCATGATGGTGGTACCATTTTTCTATCACCGTTGACTTTATCCGTTGAAATTATTCTCATTGTCATTTGTCGGACATTATCAGTTCCTTATCACGCGGGGCAGGCGGTATGTCATTTTTATTAAGTCTTTTTTAACGTTACATCGAACATCGATGTTATATTAATAAGATTTTTCTAGATTAGTTCTATTTAATTTACACATAAATTGTATTTTAATCCAAAACATTTTAAAATTTTTTATAATACACAATGTTGATTAAAGTGAAAACGCTGACTGGCAAAGAAGTAAGTAAATTTAATGATTATTTAGAAACTGTGATTTGTGACAATAAAGAATTACCTATTGTGCAACTGATAGGTACGGTATAGGAATACTTAACTGATATTGGTTTTTATCATCATTGTTTTTATAGATCGAAATCGACATAGAACCAACTGACAGAGTAGAAAGAATTAAAGAAAGAGTTGAAGAAAAAGAAGGTATACCACCACAACAGCAAAGGTTAATTTTCTCGGGTAAACAAATGTAAGTGATTTTTTCTGTTTTATGTTCATTATGACCTACATACAAACATATTTTATCAATTTTAGGAATGATGAGAAGACTGCTCAAGATTATAAAGTTCAAGGAGGATCTGTATTACATTTGGTATTAGCGCTAAGAGGTGGTAATTCTAGATTTCCGTAGAATGTATAATATTTTAATTGTTTAAATTACGAAAATGGCGTTTATAATTTTTTCGGATATTTGTTTCCGATTAAAAAAAAACCAAACAAACAACTTGAAACAAGATAAGGTAAAAAATTGTCAAATAGAATTAATACAGCAATGATTTGTTATTAATATTATTACCAGATCCTTTTTAATAAATTATATATTTTTCTATCCTAAAAATTTAATTAAATTGTATCTTTAATTAATAAAAAAAAACCTCAATATTTAAATAGACATTTTATATATTATTTCAATTAAATTAATTTTTATAGTGGTTTTGTTTAGTTTATGATTAAATATTAGTTGTACTATTCAAGTTATTTATATTTACTTACGTACACATTTTTAATATTGTAAACTATGTTAATTTTGAATCATTTTATTTTTTGTATCTAATCTAATATATAACATAAACGTGCGATTATAAAATATAAGGGCATAACCCCAACAATTACTAAACCATGTTATATGTATTTGTTTTCCTATGAGTCAGTTTACTGGAAAAAGTTTTGTTTAGGTGAGTAAAACATAGGGACACAGGTTCCTGGTAAAGAGTATAAAAAATTAATAGTAAGTGTAACCCTAGGTTAACACAAAAAAAAACAACAGATACTCTTAAAGTTACAGAAATTAAAATCAAGATTTCTTATTCACAAGCAAACTCATGTACTTTAATACACGTAAAATCGTAACTATGGTTGTCTAGTATCAAATTAACATAAAATATTTTTAATTTCTACTGATTTTTTAAGTTGAAACTAACTTCAGTTGTTTTGATTAGTTTAGGACTCTTCCTAAAAATAACATGTTACTCAATTGTAAATTCCTTAAAAAATTAACTATAATTACTTAGTTTACTGTAATTTGTAGTTACTTCTCAAATACAGACAACCATTATTCTGTTCAATTTATTCAGAGTTCTGCTAGTCCCGTTACTATATCTATAAAAATAGTTAAAAACAACATTAAACCTTTTGTATTTTTGTATATCATTAAAAGTTATTTTAACTAGGAATTAATTTTTTTTTTTTAAAGTAGTCAATTGTATTTTGTAAACAAACAAAGAAAATGTAAATGCTATTTTTATTATAAAAAAAAATAAAAAATGTCATATTTGTTTAATGTGTGAACAAATAATTTGTTTTAGTTCTTAAGCTACTTTTTTGAAAAAAAAAAAATATATACATATATATTCATTATTATAATATCTTCCTATAGGAAGATAATCGGATTTTAATCCGATATTATTGAACATGGATTAATTTTTTCAATAATATAAATTAATGTTTTAGACTTAGTATTAGTTAATTATGAACTTCATAGTTATCTCGGAGATACGCACCTTAAGGTTAAAAATAAGCGGTAAAATTTGAAGTACCTAAGTAACCAAAATAGTAATTTGATCCTAATGGATTTTTTTTCTTTTCTTCACATGCATCCTTTGCGTTCCGATGGAGAACTTGCCTGGGGAGCATTACTTTCCCCCGGATCGCCGATGCTCTTTATTGTACAAAAACAATATACAACTTTCTTGAGAGGGTGTTCCACACACCCTCTCTACATATGACTAAATGATCCTAATGGATCTAGTCATTGAAAACCCACAGCCATTAAAGGTTTATTTATTTGTTGAGTTTAGAGACCAAACGGCCTAGCTAAGCGTGTTGGGCGACCGATCATTATTTTAAAACCTTAAATGTTTACAAATTGTGTGTATTATGACGTACACATACTTAATTGGGTTTTGCACACTAATCTAATATTATAAATAAGATGTACTAATGTAGTACTATATACTCTATATGTACCTACAATTAACTCTCATTAGATTGAGAAATATATCTTTAAAATTGTATTTATTACCATTTTTGTTGTTATTTTATTTTACCACGTTAAATGATAAACACACTTTAATAATGAAGGTAGGTTTATTTAAGTAACTAATTTGTTGACATTGGACATGAACTCGAATACTGAATAGACGGCGGACGGATCATAGTTTATTTAATATATTTTAGCATCTATAATATAGATTGATGTAATAAATTACGATAAATAAAATAAAAAGTTTAAAGATTATGTTTACTATATTAAACATATTTTAGAAAATGTAGAAAAAACTAGCAACTTATGGTTATATATAATAAAATAATATTTAATACCTTTAACCATAAAAAATGTATTTAATTTTATACGTTTTATTTAGTATAAAATTAAATATTAATTTTAATAATACAGTATTTGATTGACCTTTTTATTCCATAGTTTATTTTTAACACTTGTTACCATTTTTCCTTCTACCAAATATGTTACTTATTGACATATTTAGTAGACATGGAAATTATATGGAGGCGAATAACGCCCAATACAGCAATCATTTAATCATAAATCATAATCTTTTTTTATACTTCACATGGATTTTACGAATGCTCATAATAATATTAATAATACTCAAGTGTAATTTAAAGATTGCTTTCGGCTAGTAAATATTTTCAGAAATATCAGTTTATATAGGTACTATAATATTACCTATGTAATTAGTAATAAGTTTATGTAATGTATAATACTAGGGTACAATTAAAATGTTGGTCGAGTAATTGGATGAAATCTTTAAGTGTGATTATGTATGTATTTTTATTTTGTTTTCTCTAGCTAAATCCGAAAATCATATTTGTTAAACGATGGCGGTTTAGTTTATATCGCCGCCCCGGTGGAACAATGACACAACTGCAATAATTTTACAGGAGAACCAAAATACCAAATTATTTTTCACTAAAATGTTAATAACTCATGATTGCACAATTAATTATTACAACTACAGTTACGTCGTTTTTCTACTTTGTGCGTTCGCTACATCTAAACACATTGAAGCATTTAGTCCAAATTTTGCAGTTGTGTCATTGTTCTACCGGGGCGGCGTTGTATAAATGTATTGTATTTTTAAAAATACTGATTTAACTCTAGTTGTTATTGTATAGTAAGGTACATGTTTTGATTATTATCATGGGTGCCACAGAGAGTGGCAGGAGGGACAACTCCCCCCTAGCTTCTCTGCAAGTCAAAAAAATGTATATCCAATATCCCGAATTTGTAAAATCTATTACAAAATCATTCAACGCTGCAATGGACAACAGAGCAAGAGCGATTAGTCCCATAAGAAAGCATTGAAAAATGTAAAATTCACTTTTTTGTAATTATGATTATTGTATACGTTTTTGTGTACAAAAATTGGATAAAACTATTCGTTTTATAACTGTTCCGCTTTTTAGAATAATTTCCATGTTGCTCGAATAATTATTGTCCCACGACAGTGTTACGTTCACCACTAAAGCGCGTGACTAAAGCTGCACGATGTCTTATTAAATTGTGATATGATTAGGCTAGAATCAAAACTCACATAATCTCAAAAATGAGAAAATAAATTGCCAACAATGTCTTATAGGTTTTTGATGCTGAATCCGAATGGGTTTGTTAGTTGGTTTCAAAACCCACCAACACCGGTTTGGATTAAGCCTTGAAAGTTTTGTGTAGCATGAAAACGGATGTGAATTTAAATTAGTTTTTTTGTTTTCTGAAAAATGTGATTTTGGATCATGGGAGTTTTAATTCTAGCCTACTCATTTATTATAGTATCAATGACAATAAAAACAAAACAATAAATTGAATAATGTAATCTGCTTAGCATTCAAAATATATTTTATTTTCCCATCCGAAACGAGTTGGCACAATATCGTTGACACAAATGCATTGTGGGGGTGTTTTAATTGGCTATTCTGAAGAATAATGTTTATAAATATTTATATATAACTTGAATATTGGCGATAAAGTATAGCCAAACGATTGTTTCGGGAACATTATACAAGTGACATTAATACAAAGAAAGAACGTATTTTAGCAGGAGTTTGGACAGTTTAACAATTCCCATTATACGGTACCCCAGGCATTAGGTATATTATATTCTTATTTAAAAGGATTTTTTTTTTTGTTAATACTTGGCGGTAGGTACTTATTATAGAAATTTACCATAATACACGTGCTTGGAAAACTGTTAAGATATCTGTCTCGACGATATGGGAATATGTTTTAAGTTCAATATTACGGGTAGATTACGAATAAAATTTGCCCGGTGTTGGTACACAATGACAACATAAGTTGTTCGGACTGTGTTTGGCTTTTTTTTGTGATTTTATCATCAGCCATTTTTTTTATGATTAGTTTGCACTGGTTTTTGTTGTATATATATCTGTGGCTTGGAGCAAGAAGGGCCAATGTCATTTTTTGCAACTTTCGGAAAATGAGCTTTGAAGTTTTTATCTTCCATTAGGCTCTATGTTAATTTTTTTATCAAACTCTTCATGATTAATTCATTTTTTGGCCTCAGAGTGTGATTTTTTCATAGTATATAAAGAATGATTCAATTTTTGCAATTAGCGAACTAACTCGTTTATGCACAAAATTGACATTGGCCCTTCTTGCTCCAAGCCACAGATATGTGATATATATATATATATCACTTTATTTTATATTGTATTTCTTCTATATATCTTATCGTGTATACATGTGTCTTACTTTATTATGTATGAGTAACTATTTTGTTTGTACTTGTAAAAATTAGTGCAAAAGCACTTAGTTGAGAGTTAGTCTGAGTCTTAGTCTAAAGTTGAGCTAAGGATCTGAATTTTTGAAAATTTTTCTTATTTGAATAAACTACATTTTAGACTAAGTCGAATTATATAATATATACTATTTTACAAAATTGTGTTTTTTAATACAATGTTTTTTTTTTAATGCAATTGCATTAATGAAAAGTTACTTGAATAACATTGAGTTATTGAATTTGATTATTTGGATAACATTCTATTATTTGAAATATAACGGATACATTTTCCATAAAAAAACACGTCTAAAGAAAAACGGGATTATGAGGGCAAATTTTGCTAGATAATAAACTAGTGTTAAAAATTAAATTGATATTCAACATTCTTGTTAAAAAAAATTATTAACCTCATTAAATAAAATTCAAGTTTAAATACCTGGCAAATGCTTAAGCACCTTCAAAATTTGTTATTGAAATTGCGCCTATGAACATAACACTGATATTATATTGATACATTTTCTGATAGTACAAGAAAATACGAGTAAAAAATAGTTTACTTTTATGATCATCTGTTTAAACAACTTTCTGATTGAATATTCGCGAATGCAAAAATAAAATAAG